GACAGTTCTTCAAACGGACTCTGTTAGATACTTTAACTTTTAAAGTGAGGCTTTATCGCTAGTTATGTTTGAAGACAAGTGTGACGACGATTCTTGAAGTCACATTTTTGGACGAAAGAGGTTTAAGGGTCATTGTGTTTAAAGGGAAGATACAACATTTGCAAACATTACAAAATTAAAATGATCAAATTATCACTAAATACCTTGCTGGATTGTTAAGGAATGATAGTCTAAAGCATCCTGTAAATCGTGGCTCCTGGTGTGCTGACATTTTCATGAAAAATGGTATTTTTCCAACGCTGGTCGGCCGACCAGCGTTGGAGAAAACTGACCTTTTTTCAAAACTGCTCCTAATTTTTCATAATTAGTTATTCCGTGTTTTCTCTGCAATTGATTACACAACTATGAAGGGGTACAAGCCTACTAGACTTACTCTCTGATCTTACAATTCCCCAAAGTCTATAAATTCTCCGTTTCATCTTAAGTGGGGTCTGGGAACCAGACTACAAGAAAATGAATGGATTTCTTGTTTTTTCCAACATCTACAAGTCTAAAACGTGAAACAAATCATTTTAACAATATTTGCTAACACATACTAATCCTCCAAATCCATTTATTTCTGAAAATTGCAGCAAAAGCAAATGTTGTACATTCCCTTTAAGTGGTGATATTCTTTGAACTGATTTAGCAATCGATTGTGAATATTAACACGCAAAAAAACCTACGCGTTTCAATGTTGTACTGGTTTGAATTTTCTCTGAATTATTGTTGCGCACTTGTACATGAAGCCTATAAAGCATCAAGACAAACCAATGTTGTAGTTACCCAAGAACCTTTTTTTTGGCTATCACGGTGAAAACTTGCCACAAAGAAGTCCCAGAGTCAGAAGTATTTTCTATACCCTGGGACTTTCCGCGTGATGACAAAAAAAGTTTGTGGGTGACTATCTTATTGGTTTGTCCTAATACGTTATAGGCTTAATGTACATGTGCTCATCAATAATTAAGTGAAATTTTAGACCAGTACAACTAGTATATAATGAGTTATTGTTCAAGCAACGAGTTGATTGTTTCTACGTGGTCAATAGTCAGGAGTAGTTTCTGTATAATGGGATGTCTTTATGGCATGTTTTCTCCGTGAAGACAAAAAAAAAGATGTTTGGCTGACTACAACATTGGTTTGTCTTAATACTTGATAGGTTTGTTGTACATGTGCTTAACAATATTTAAGGGAAATTTCAACCCAGTATTTCAACATGTATTTAATGAGTAATGTTCAAGCAACGCGTAGGTTGTTTCTGCGTGTTATTTCAGGAGTATTTCCTGTACACTGGGACGTCTTTACAGCAGGTTTTCACCGTGAAGACAAAAAAAATGGGGTGACTACATGATTGATTTGTCTTAATACTCTATAAGATTTATGTACATGTGTTGAACAAAAATAAAGAAGTATTTCAAATCAGTACGACGGGTATTTAATGAGTTATTGTTCAAGCAACGCATATATTGTTTCTGCGTGTTCAATAGTCGGGAGTACTTCCTGTACACTGGGACGTCATTATGGCATGTTATCTAGGTGATGACATAAATAGTTGGTGTGTGACTACAACATTAGTTGGCTCGTTGTAAATGTATTTCACAACAATTAAAGGAAATTTCAAACCATTACGACATGTATTTAAAGACTTATTGTTCAAGCAACGCGTATGTTGTTTCTGCGTGTTCAATAGTCAGGAGTATGTTCTATACGCTGGGACGTCTTCATGGCAGGTTGTCTCCAAAACGTTTTGGGGTGACTACATAATTGATTTGTCTTAACACTTTATAAACTTTATGTACATGGTCTCAACAGTAATAAAGAAGAATTAATACCAGTACCACATGCATTTAAAGAGTTATTGTTCAAGCAACGCGTAGGTTGTTTCTGCGTGTTCAATAGTCAGGAGTATGTTCTATACACTGAGACGTCTTCATGGCAGGTTTTCTCCGTGATGACATATAACAGTTTGTGGGTGAATTCAACATTGGTTTGTCCTAATACTTTATAGGCTTAATGCAAGTTTGCTCAACAATAGTTTTAAGGAATTTAAAACCAGTACGACATGTACTCACTGAGTTATTGTTCAAGCAACTTGTCTCGGCGTGATCAATAGTCACGTGAGTTTTCTGTACACTGGGACGTTTTTGTAGCAGGTTTTCTCCGTGATGACGAAAAAAAAAAGTTTTGGGCTGACTACAACATTGGTTTAACTTAATACTTTCAAAGCTTGATATCAATGTGTTCAACAACAATTAACGGACATCTCAAACCAGTACGACATGTATTTTTTGAGTTATTGTTCTAACAACGAGTAGGTTGTTTCTGCGTGTTCAATAGTCACGAGTGTCTTCTGTACTCTCGAACGTCTTTATGGCAGATTTTCTCCGCGATGACAAAAACAAATAGTTTGTGGGTTACTCCCCCATTTTTTGTTCTATTACTCTAAAGGCTTAATGTACATATGCTCAACAATGATCAAATGAAATTTCAACTCGTTCAAAATACACGTTTCTCACATGTATTTCTGGACGTTTTTCATGCAAGTTTTCTCCGTGGTGACAAAAAAGGTTTTCTGGTGACTACAACATTGGTCTGTCTTAATACTTTATAGGCTTTATGTACACGTGCTCAAAAAAAAATTTCAAACCAGCACAACATGAATTCACTGAGTTATTGTTCAAGCAACGCGTAGGTTGTTTCCACAAGGTCAAAACTCAGGAGGAAGATTTGTCATGAAAAGTAAACAAACAAGACAGAAGGTTTAAACGATATCTTGTTTTTCTCTTCTTCAACAGTGTATTGTGTCGAAACACGGAGAAAAACTTGGCGATGGGCTGCAGTGGCAGTCCAAACAGAACATTTGTTTCACTTTGGCACAGGAACGATAGTTCAGATGGACAAAAATTAATTGATCCATTGAATTGAAATGTGGCCAGGTGATTGGTCATGAAAAGAAAACAGAGTAGACGGAATATTTAAACAAAATATTGTTTTCTCTCCATTAAAAGTGTCTTCTGTCGCAACACGGAGAAAAACTTGGCGATGGGCTGCAGTGGCAGTCCGAACAGAATGCACAGGGACGATGGTCCAGCTGGACACGATATCTCAAACATTAATTGATCCATTGAATTGAAATGTGGCCAGATGATTGGTCATTAAAAGTAGACAAACAAGACAGAAGATTTCAACAAAATATTGTTTTCTCTCCAGAAAAAGTATTTTCTGTCGCAACACGGAGAAAAACTTGGCGATGGGTTGCAGTGGCGGTCAAAACAGAACATTTGCCTCACCTCTGCACAGAAACGATGGTCCTGCTGGACAAGTTATCTCAAAAATTAATTGATGCATTGAATTAAATTGTGGCCAGATGATCGGTCATGTCAAGTAGACAAACGAGACACAAGATTTAAACGAAATATTGTTTTTCTCTTCTTCAACAGTGTCTTGTGTCGCAACACGGAGAAAAAAACTTGGCGATGGGCTGCAGTAATAGTCTGAGCAGAACATTTGCCTCACTTTTGCACAGGAACGATGGTCCTGCTGGACACGTTATCTCAAAAATTAATTGATGCATTCGAATTAAATTGTGGCCAGATGATTGATCATGACAAGAAGACATTCAAGACAGAAGAATTAAACGAAATATTGTTTTTCTCTCTAATAACAGTGTCTTATGTCGCAACACGGAGAAAAAACTTGGCGATGGGCTGCAGTAGAAGTCTGAACAGAACATTTGCTTCACTTTTGCACAGGAACGATTGGCCAGCTGGACACGATATCTCAAAAAAAATTTAAATTGAATTATGCGTGCGTGAACGAATTTAGGGGTCCAGTTTTGCGACCCAAAAACTTGAACTGTTTTGATGCCAGTTGTGATTTCATCCGTAAAGTTTTCGCCTTTTGCGGACGTCTAAGAAACCATAATTTTGTGCGTCGGTGAAAGTCACCGCACTTGGTTTGAGGCTAGCGGGACTTTGATTTGTAGTGGACTTCTAGTTGACGACTGAGGCGATCCCGTAATCATTGAGCTAGCCTGCCTATCGAGTTGACTCGTTGTAGCGTTCCGAGTTCTTGTGAAGGTTACCATCCTCGAGTGAAGGTTACCACCCCCTAGTGCAAATCAAATTATCAACAATTTATTTTGAAATGTGGCAAACAATACGCCTGATGCGACAAAGACATTTTAGACGATTGTCAATATTTCAGGTTTGCCATTTCAAATAGCAAACTTGGAATGTTTTCAAAATATCTAGCTTTCAAAACAAAACTTCGATTAGGAGCTTAAACACAAGATTATTTTCTCATTAATCTCAAAATTTCTGGCTTTCTTAAAAAAAAAAATTGGATTAAGATATATTCCCTTTTCAAAAATGTCATCATGTAAATCTCAAAAGCCCTGGCTTTAATTAGGAGACGTACATTACAAAATTCACGTATTCATTTTTTCTCAAAACGCGGGCTTTCAATAAACACCTTTGGTTTGGAGCATTGTACTTTACTTAAAAATACACTTAAAAGTGGTTGAGGTGGACCAAAAATATACAAAACACTTCCCAATCCCTCTGACCTCTCAGGACATCTTTTTTTGATAATGTGAGCATCACACTCTTACACAAAATGCCACTGTTTTTCCATCCAAAGGAGTTTTCCCATTAGGGACACCAACATTTAAAATAATCAGAATTTTAAGACACTAAAATCTTTGCTGATACTAAGAGGACTAGGATTGGCAAAGGTAAAACTGATAAATAAAAGTCTTCCTGAAAAAAATGAGTCCGGCAAAAAACAACAACAATTTTTTTTAAAAAGCTGTCTACTGGCAATTTTTATTTTTGTGTGTTTGTGTACTTTTCCAGTTCAATATTAAACCGTACTTCACCCAATACAAAAATCAGAGGCATCAAATGAATCAATGATTGGAAGGAATGGTTCTTACTCTACAGTTAACCTTGTTTTTAATAAACCGCAAGTCCTTTTAAATTAATACAGCAGATCAAGTCAGTTCCAAGGTGATCCGAAAGATTCCAAATCAATGCTTTTCAAAAAGATTGATGTGGTCTCAAACATATATTTCCCAGTTGTATTTCCCCCAAAATGCACTGAACTAAATAGACAGGTCAGAGTACAGGAGAGCCAATGAAAATTTGCAACCAAGTGATACAATTGTGTCTGTAATTTCATTTCCTATCGCTCACTGAAATTTCACCAGACATTTGAAATGTTGCAATGGGAAAGCCTGGTGTTCTTCTGAATGATGTTGACATTACATGTACAATGATTGTTTGGTACCAAGGTTTGGTAGCAATCTTTTGCGTGAGAATGATGTGCACATCTGCATCATATGATTTTTCTTAATTTGTTTTATTTACATTGTAAACACATCATACGACACACACACAAAAACAAATCTGCAGTACTGTCTGTTCTGTTTTACTTTTGAGAGCAATATATGCAGGCAAACCATCACAATACCCAACACATTGAGGAATTCTGTGAACAAACTACATGTTGTAGAACCTAAGTAACCATGAATTAATCATTAGCTTAACAATACAAAGTTAACACGTATGGGTGTGCTCAGAACTGTAAACAATTTTGATAAATATCAACTACATGCAAATTGTTGACTATGTAAAGTTTCCATTGTCAAAAGTGTGAAATGGAGATTCCTTGAAAATGTCAAATAAACTACAATGTACATCTTGCAGAGACTTGAGTATATTTAGCCTCAACTTCCTATGGAAGGAATCGGGGATCATAAGAAACCAACTATACAGTGTTTTTGTACGTTGTCAAACAAAACACGGTCAAACACTGTTGACCTTGTTTAGTTCAAGTGACAGAGAGCAAAAGAGAGCTTGCATAAAGGGTCTGTGGTTTCTTTTCTTTTTTCAAATAAATCCTCGTTTACCAATGTTTTATTTATCATAGTGACTTTGGCATTTGTTACCGAAACTGATTCCACGTTTTCCTTCTTTTTCAATGGCAACCCTTCTGCCAATATTTGCAAACATCAATCCAACTCGTTTTTGTTCACATATTTAATTGTGACTTTTCTGTCAGCTTGACTTGGGTCGTATTGCGGTAAAACCAAGCATGAAACATCAAAGAAAGATAGCAGCATGCCACAAGACCCATGTAAGTCAGGCATCCCATACAAGTTAGTTTATTCTTAAGTTTAAGTACAATGGTAGCTTGAACAATTCATAAAAAAAACTCTTGAATCATCAGGACTGCTCAAAATGACTGCAAAATTTTCAATTCAGACGCTAATAGAAGTAAAATATTATGATTATTATTTCTAGTAAACATAGCTTTATCAGGCAGCGGACTACAGTATTTATTATTATCATAATTATTGATGTTACATTTAGAATTGAGGCAATAGGGTGACAATTTCTCAAGTGTCGTCTAGATTAGGGCGACACACCTTAATGGGGCGACAGTTTGGTGTCGCCCTATTGTTGAAACGACCCTTAGGACCAAGGAATTTTAATGTCGCGACCCATCTGGATCGATTCCTCGTTGTCCGATTAGCCTAAATACCGAATTTCGTGGGGAAATGATTAGGTAAACTCGTATTAGGCAACAGTGTAGGTTTGCGCGCAAGTCTACGGGAGTGTCGCTTCTTAAGAATTGTTATTATAATAATTATTATTTTGTATTAACAAGAATTATTTTGATTAAACTTCACGGCCAAAGGGCCGAATTGCAGTCTAAGTTACACACATGATGAATTAATTTTTATTTTTCATGTAAGTCACTTAGGAGTTTCTTAAACAACTTCTCCAACAGCTAACATATCTGTGTATAATTATGTCAATGCTTTCTGAGTAAAGATATAAACTACATAAATACATTTGTTTAGTCTCGAACCTGTTCTGCTGAGAATTCTCTACAACCTGAGGATCTTATTGACTGTCTGTGACAAGCCGGCGGCGTTGATGGCCGTCAATGTCAAGTGGTAATCGGTGTAGGGAGCCAGTGGCGAGACACGCATAGCAGTCTCCATGGTCTCCACCCACTGCATGATATCACTACCTCCTGGGATGGTACCCAGACATACCTCATAGACCAAGGAGGAGGAAGGAGAGGCAGAGAACAAACCATCCCAGGTAAGATCAACTCTTCCATCACCTAGCCAGGAGTATCTCAGCAGGCTTAGCCCTATAAAGATATTCAATTACAAATTTGTGAGATGAAGGAAACTCTCAAATGTGGGTTGCTGGAAAAGTATTCAGATGATTTGCACAAACAAAAAATGGAACCCACGAAGGAAACAACAGAAACAATGACCCTTTCATTATTTGGTAATGATTTGAGAGTATGCAATTTTTTTTCAGAAATAGCTAATTATCCCTCGCAAGTTATCAATTAACCCATTTTGGGGGGTTTAGGTGGTTGTATGGGATTCTTTGATACCACTCTTTTCTGCCGCCCCATTTACAGTGCATAGAATACATTTTACCCTAATTGGGGCAACCTTCATAAAAAATACATTAAATACAACTGTAGACCTTTGTGTGCTCTGGTTTACATTCGAAAGCATCGCCCATATATCATTTGGAAAGATTGAGCTACGTATACATACCTCCCCGTGTAGGTATGGAAGATTCTATAGTGATGTTGCCAGTGACAGCTTGGCTGATCAGACCAGCATGATTGACGGCTCTGACTGACAGGCTATAGGTCGCATCATCATCCAGGGTAAGACCTGACCAATCAAGGTGGGTCTGTGATGTGGATCCACAAGGTGTCCAGGAGGTGAAGGCGTTGGGTCCACTCAGATGGCACTGAGAGGAGGAAAAGGATTCAATTAGGGATTAAACTACAAATAAGGTGTCCCGGAGGTGAAGGCGTTGGGTCAACTCAGATGGCACTGAGAGGGGGAAAAGGATTCAATTAGGGATTAAACTACAAATAAGGTGTCCAGGAGGTGAAGGCGTTGGGTCAACTCAGATGGCACTGAGAGGGGGAAAAGGGTTCAATTAGGGATAACACTACAAACAGGGTGTCCAGGGTCTGTGATGTGGATCCACAAGGTGTCCAGGAGGTGAAGGCGTTGGGTCCACTCAGATGGCACTGAGAGGAGGAAAAGGATTCAATTAGGGATTAAACTACAAATAAGGTGTCCAGGAGGTGAAGGCGTTGGGTCAACTCAGATGGCACTGAGAGGGGGAAAAGGGTTCAATTAGGGATAACACTACAAACAGGGTGTCCAGGAGGTGAAGGCGTTGGATCAAATCAGATGACACCGAGAGAAGGAAAATGGAAAGGGTTCATTTTGGGATAACACTACAAGTAAATTGTCCAGAAGGCGAAGGCGTCGGGTCCACTCAGATGGCACTGAGAGGAGGGAAAGGTTCAATAAGGGATAACACTACAAATGAGGTGTCCAGGAGGTGTATGCGTTGGGCCCACACAGATGGCACTGAGAGGAGGAAAAGGATTCAATGAGTGATAACATTACAAACAAGGTGTCCAGGAGGTGAAGGCGTTGGATCAAATCAGATGACACCGAGAGGAGGAAAATGGAAAGGGTTCATTTTGGGATAACACTACAAGCAAATTGTCCAGAAGGCGAAGGCATTGGGTCCACTCAGATGGCACTGAGAGGAGGGAAAGGGTTCAATAAGGGATAACACTACAAATGAGGTGTCCAGGAGGTGTATGCGTTGGGCCCACACAGATGGCACTGAGAGGAGGAAAAGGATTCAATAAGTGATAACACTACAAATAAGGTGTCCCGGAGGTGAAGGCGTTGGGTCAACTCAGATGGCACTGAGAGGGGGAAAAGGATTCAATTAGGGATTAAACTACAAACAAGGGTAAGACCTGACCAATCAAGGTGGGTCTGTGATGTGGATCCACAAGGTGTCCAGGAGGTGAAGGCGTTGGGTCCACTCAGATGGCACTGAGAGGAGGAAAAGGATTCAATTAGGGATTAAACTACAAATAAGGTGTCCCGGAGGTGAAGGCGTTGGGTCAACTCAGATGGCACTGAGAGGGGGAAAAGGATTCAATTAGGGATTAAACTACAAACAAGGTGTCCAGGAGGTGAAGGTATTGGATCCAATCAGATGACACCGAGAGGAGGAAAATGGAAAGGGTTCATTTCGGGATAACACTACAAGCAAATTGTCCAGAAGGCGAAGGCGTTGGGTCCACTCAGATGGCACTGAGAGGAGGGAAAGGGTTCAATAAGGGATAACACTACAAATGAGGTGTCCAGGAGGTGTATGCGTTGGGCCCACACAGATGGCACTGAGAGGAGGAAAAGGATTCAATGAGTGATAACACTACAAACAAGGTGTTCAGGAGGTGAAGGTGTTGGATCCAATCAGATGACACCGAGAGGAGGAAAATGGTACAGTTAGGGATAACACTACAAACGAGGGATCGAGGAGGTGAAGGCATTGGGTCCACTCAGATGGCACACAAAGTGGAAAAGGGTTCATTTCGGGATAACACTACAAGTTGTCCAGAAGGCGAAGGCGTTGGGTCCACTCAGATGGCACTGAGAGGAGGAAAAGGGTTCAATAAGGGATAACATCACAAACAAGGTGTCCAGGAGGTGTAGGCGTTGGGCCCACTCAGATGCCACTAAGGGGGGAAAGGGTTCAATTAGGGATAACATTACAAATTGCAGCTAATCAACCATTGGGGCCGGTATCATCCTGCTTTGCACAAGTGTCTGCAGTACACCAGATCACCAGAATCTTTGGCACAATTACAATTTCAATTACAAACAGAAATTGTCAGAATTTGATTTCAGACAAGCCTTTGATCCTAATTACAATTATATGTATATACATGTATACATATAGCTGGTTAGAAAAATTAAACAAGTAGCTCGTGCCAATGCAAAATGCACTGTAAAGATAAATTCACCGTGAGAAGCATATCTGCGAATATAAAAAGAGACAGTTGTTGAAGTAGCATCGGCCTTTTGTGTTTCACTTTGACTTGACGTGCTTTATACATGTATACTCAGGCAGCATCAGGTAAGGTGTGTAAGACTTATAAACAATGGTAGACATCACTGACTGAAATGTGCTGTGAACAAATTAATTCTATAATTAAATTTGACATATTTGACACTCAGTCTATGCAGAGCACACTACCTCATAGGACTGAATTCCAAATGGGTCCATGAATCCATCCCAGGATGCTTTGACAGAGTCTCTCTGTGACTGGTACCTATCGCGTGTGTCATATTGAGTCTCTGACATGGTCTTCAGTTTGACGACTGCTGCTGATGAGTTAGGAGGCACTGTAACTATGGTAACGCCATCTGATGATTTCCATGAGGACTTCTCAGCACCATTGTAGCATGTGATGGTTACGTACAGGCGCTGACCCTCAACCATGGCCTGGGACAGACTGGTGGTGATGCTGGAAGTGGCATTAGGAGATGGTGAGCTGGGTAGGATGTCATCAAGTCCAGGCTCTGATCCTGGTAAGAAAGGAAATACATTTTAGTATTCACGGCCTCTTTCAGGGTTTCTCTTAACAAAGTGGTCAGTATTCTACTCATAGTTAGTTTTCAAACAACTCATGTTAAGGTACTAATACAAGCCCAATAATAGTCAGAAATCAGGACTTACCAATTGCCCACTCACAATATTCAATTCCACTCTCAGGGTCAGACGCTGACCAACTGAATGTCAGAGAAGAATCATCAGCTATGAAGTCAATATCTGTCGAGAAGAGAGGAACTCTCAATGAAATTTTCCTGCTTAATACTATGAAACTGTGCTTGAATAGTAGATTCCGCTTTTGATCACTCGTAACACATCCTTCTGAAAGAAACGCTGCATGCAAACACCAATTCACATGCCTATGTCATTCCTGTATTATGGAGATGCACAACAAAGTTGAGGTAATTTATATGTAACGCAGTGTATATGAGGCGATTTATATGTTATGCAATGTATATAAAGTAAACATCTATTTTTATGGACTGGACACGTACCGAGTGCTTTCAAGACCAATGAAATAAGAGTTTTTACGACACGATATAACAAACTGATGCGTAATATTTTGTTTGGATACTTGTCTAGATTGGCCACATGTTCAGTCTATAAAATGACTGTTTACATGAAATATAAACTGCGTTACATGTAAGTAACTAAGGACTGCATGGTATATAAATTACCTCGCGCACACACTGACCTGCACGCGCCTATAGGATGCGTGGAATACTTCATACATTTCTTGCATACCCTAACCTAATTGGATGCAGATATCGTGTACATATAGTGTAGTTTTAGTGAAGATGTTTTAAAATTGATTTTGGAACTAACCAAATGTGGTGCATTAATATGGTGTCACGTTTTGAGAACCAAACTTAATGTGTGTACTTTTGGTGTATGTATGAGAAGCCGACTTCTCGAAGTCATGGAGGAGCACCAGCTTGTAGCTGCCAACACTCTGTTCCAGGAAAGGAGAAGCAAGATGTGGACAGTAAAGTCGCTGCACCGCAGATTACAACTCACCAGCTGGACTACGTACTTGTGCGTAGTAAGTGGAGGACGACTGTCAACAATTGTGAAGCCTTCAGTTCCTTTTGGTCCCTCTACTCAAATCACAGAGTCGTGACAGCAACAGCGCGACTCAGCTTGAGAGTATCAAGGAAGCCAATAGCTGGGAAGCCCAAAGAGTACAAGCGGAAGGAGTACAAGCTACGAAGCAGGAACTGTATAGTTTTTACGCTATTATCGAGACCGATGAGCTTGAGCAGAAGTTAAATGGAACGTAAATTAACTGGAAGCTGATTGACGCCATCTCTGGACGACATAGCTGCCAAACCGCCAAGCTCAAGGCCCCAAGGGCTCAGTAGAGAGTGCTGCTCGGGCACGCACCTTTTAAGATGCTGGAAGGGAATCCGCTAGAGATTGTAAAAAAAAAAAGGACACACCAGTAGTTAAAGTGCTTAAAATCTGCCCATACCTGACGGTTCCTTAACCTTGGAGGAAAACCAGAAGGCCAAGTCGTACATCAAGACTGGGAAAAGCTGTGGTGGGGACGGGGTAACGCCCGAGCTACTCAAGTATGTCCCACTAGACGACACAGTATTGGCTGTCATACACAAAGCCTACAAGTTAGGGGAAAAAAACGAGGAATGTAATAACTCTCAACATCGTACCAGTACCCAAGTCGAGAGACCTCTCGAAGCCTGAAAACTACCTTGGGATCAGTCTGCCATCGCTTTCGTGAAGACATACAATCGTACGATCTCCATATCGCATACGCCCTGTGCTTGATCCACTCCTGCGATACTCGCAGAACGGCTTCCGCCCGAAGCGATCCACAGTCGGACAGATCCTGGCCCTGAGGCAAATACTGGAAGGAGTCAAGGAGAAGAACTTGTCGTGTGTCATCACCTCCATTGATTAAAATAAAACATTCGATACTGTGCACTGAGACACAAGCTCATCGAGTTCGCGCATATGGTGAAGAGAAGCTGTTGATGGGAATCTTAGTAGGCTACAGCAAGACGTGGGCAAAGGTGGTCACCCCAGACGGTACCACGGACGTCTGTGAGATCCAGGCCGGAGTCCTGCAGGGGTACACGCTGGCGCCCTTCTTGTTCGTGCTCGTGTTAGCTATGTGCTGACACAGGCAGTCGAGGGAAATGAGGAGGAGCTGGGCTTCACGCTCGCCAGGCGTAGGAGTTGGAGAGTGTCAGCAGTGGTGATCACTGACCAGGACTTTGCTGATGACATCAGTCTCCTCTCCGAAACGGCGGGACAAGCACAAGCATTGCTTGAAGTTGTGAAACTTCAGTGCTGCCGATTAGGGCTACAGCTTAACTCGAAGGTGATGGTGTTCAACTCGGAGTACAGTATCATCAAGTCCCGAGACGGCGCTCCCCTAGAGATCGTTGATGATTTTAAATATCTCGGCACCCTCATAGGATCGACTGAGAGCGAGATGAGAGCGAGGAAAGCTTTAGCGTGGAAGGCCTTTCATGGTTTGAATCGAGTTTGGAGAGCTCGTCTCACTGACGACATCATGAGACGTCTGTTCGTGGCTACAGTTGAGTCTGTACTTCTGTATGGAGCTGAGACGTGGACGATGACAGCCAGGCACGAGAGAGTGCTAGACGGCGTCTACATGCGAATGCTACGTATGGCACTCAACGTCAGTTGGGAATAATTGGTGCCCACCATCCAGCTCAACGACACCCTGTCCAGAGTTTCTGCTAAGGTCAGGGAGCGGGGGATGATGCTGGAAGGCCACTGCGTGCGAAGGCCACTGTGTGCGAAGGCCATACAGAGCTAGCCCCGAGCCCGCTAGTACTGTGGGAACCTGTCAGTGGAGCTAGAAGCAGGGGCAGGAGGAGTCTTTCGTTTACCAGTTGAAGAGGGACGCAACACAAGAAGACACCGCTGAGCTAAGGATGCTGATGCTGGACTGCGATGAATGGAATGCAACCATCAGAGTCTCCCAAGAAGGCGTTGGTTGCAGACGACCTCTCGCATGATGATGATGATGTACCATTACGGCTAAGATTTTGAAGTGTATGTTTGGTATAGTAACATCATCTGCATAAAGCTGGTGCACAATTGGTGTACACCACGTGCACTAAAACTACACCAACTACAGAGGTGCGTACTGTAATGATCAGATAGTAATACCGGTAATGTATTGTGGGTATACAACACGGCTGCCCACATAGAGAATCCACTCGCAAGGTTAGATGCACTAAGACAATGGGGGGGGGCGCTCTGAATAATTACTGGTACAGATCAATGAACCCTATAAATACATACATTAATTTATACACACACCCCAATTAGTTGAGGGTAGTCAGTTGGCGCGATATAACAAAGAAATTATTGACTGCTGTGATGTGGGATATGTGTTTTGCACCCCTGTACGATACATAGCACCCTCAGATTTGCCTCGGGTGCAATACTTACTTACTTGGGCACAACAACAGTCAACCATTGTTAAAAATCAGTTTGGAAATCAACATCTTAGGATTAATTAACATACCGTGCTCATCCCCACCATCTTTGACAAAGTGAATCATGGGTGGCGTTAGGTCAACCAGAATGGGGTCAGAGGTTGCTATGGTGATGAGATCAGCTGCATTTCTTGCCATCACTGTAATGTAGACATGGGAATCATGTGTTATCATGACGTCAGTGTTGATAGCGTCTGTCTGTGTACCCACTGATGAGAAGCTTTGTAACTGGGTGCCGCCTTTTGTTGTACCTGATAAATGATTGGAAAAAGATGTGATTAAGTAATGCCCAAAATCATCAAACTATGTGCATGATCTTTAATAGAATGCCTTTGATTGTGGATTCACGAGATAACAAGAAAACCTTGTTTTCTAATATCTGAAATGTCAACACTTCAGCCAGTGACTTAAAAAACAAGTCCAACACTCAACCTACCTATGGCCCAGGTGTAGTCGACTATGGGACTCTCAGGGTCAATGAAATGCCACTTGGCCTGGATGGATGACCAGTTGTGAATAAACTGGGTATGTACCTCTACAGACCCTTCACCGGTACTCAGTCCAGTGGTTATCTGCCTAACCTGTGTAAAACAAAATCAGAACAGGATGATTGTCCTCAACAGTAATAACATGTATGATTGCTGGAGACTTGGTTTATCTTGACCTATGCAATAACTAAATTGATATTTTATTATGAGATAGCAACATTTGTGTTGAGAAGTTTGATAATAATCTATACATCTAAGGTGTGAGTGATGAATTTGGAAAAACATTTAAGACTTTACGAAAAAGAATTACATCGGCTTAAAAACGGGATTTGTTTACAACCTACACAATTAACTCTACCATAGGAGATTTTTTTTTCACCTGCACATTATCCAAAAGGATCCCATTCGATTGTCCAACAGAGGAGATTTTCAGTGTTGATACGTCTCCACTGGCTGTGAAGTAAAATTTGTGCTGATGCCATCGTATGGACCTCAGACTCTGGTCTGAGTGACTGTGTGCCGGCCGGTCATACAACCTGAAGATGCGATCCAATCCCGGAGCTTCGATGCGACCCTCCTGATTCAGCAAAGGATTGTGGGATGGCACCGGGTGACTCGCAAAGAACACAGCTTGGAAGTGGCTTCCCTGTGTTGTGTTGAAGGTTTGGGAGATGGAGCCATGAAGAGACAAGAAGGAGTGACCATCTTGAGCAATCTTCTTCCCTGAAGTGACCACGGCATATTGGCTATCAGATCCAACATCCCACTGAACTAGTACCTCACCTTGTTTATTATTGGTAACACGCAAAATGGTTGTGGATGACATTTCTACAGCTGGCAAATTGGTGGCAGAAGTGGGATCAGACGTAACTGTGGCTTCATTTATATATTCAGATTCCATGTCTGAAAAGATCAAAATGAAAGTTTCAAACTTTACATAATTGGATAAAAACAAACTACTACATGGCTTATATTTGAAAAAGCAAAACTTTCCTTTTCTCAATTTTGATGAAAACTGTCTATTAAACAATTTATCAAGTTATGAACTATTTAAAATGTTGTACTCTCAATGGTATTTTGATTCACCTGTTATGTTTGGTTCCTGCATCTGTTCAAATGATGGATTCTGGATCAAGTTATCCCCAACATTTATCTGTTCCAGTGGCTCAGGGGGTGTAGTGTCCACCACAAACCCGTCTGAAGAGACAGATGCAGACTGCAAGCCAGCTGCGTCGATGGCTGAAATCTTGGAGTAATATCGGATGCCTGAAAAATAGGAATCAAATTTGTTGCTATTGGTCACTAGCTCGGAACTCGGAAATATTGTTAGATGATACAGGCCTTCTGATGTAAAATCTGCATATAACCATTTTCCCTATCTGCCTCAGACAATTGAGGCATTGACGAAAAAATAAGTATGGGCATCCTGTAATATCCTCCACTATGCCGGCAAATTCTTTGAACTTGAACTTTCAAGGAGCATCATGCCCAATGTTATGATGGCAGCCGAGCTGTACCTTGTAAATTACGAAGGACATCTTCTATGGGGAAAAACACCCTCTTTCCACAGAATGCTAATGAGTTTGCCTGATATTAGCAATTAAAATTGCCACACAGACTTGTTGATATTCACAGTCACAGAGTTTATATCTTCCAGTCAGAAAAGGTCAAAACAAAGTTTTAGACAGGATTTTTGCAAAGGTCAATCAGCGTATCTGACATTATTTCAGATGGTTGAGAGAGTTGTATAACTTTACCATCTATTAAAGGCACAGCTAGAGTTTTGGAGGCAGACAGGTGCATTCCAACATTGGTACAGGGCAGAATGTCATCATCATCAGGGCTAGGGGTCTGTCCAACGCACCACTGATAATGGTCTATGTAGGATTCCAGATCCACAAAGCCATGGCACGAGGTTGAGATAGCTGTGCTGGTGTTCTGGTATTCAACGTCATGAAGATCTGCCACAACGAAGTTAGGTTAATAAAATCTTAGTTCACAGGTTTGTTCTGCTTATATCTATTAAATAATAACTCTTGGAAATCAGCATAAAAGTCTAAATTCAAATTTATACATTAACATTGTGAGTGTTATGTAATTTATAGTAGCGATAATGCACACTGTTATTTTGACATTTGTGGAACATCAGGGTAGGGGTGCTTGAGTCTTGCTACAACTAAAATCATATGTGTGTTACATTTGACCAAGAGTCATCATATTGTGCCACAGTGATTACAGAAGCCTTGATTGCATCAGGCAATGACAAGTGATTGTGCACACCATCAAACTTGAAATGTATAAATAGTATCTGTACATTGTGAAAAAGAAGGTGACTATTTACCCGTTCCATCAAACACAAGGCCTGCATCTGGCCTCCTTGTGTCAACCACAAAGCCATCACTGCTTTTGAGCGTGTGCAGACCAGCTTTGTTGAATGCTCGTACGTTGCTGTAGTATCGCAGTCCACTCTTTAGATTCAGATTGGTGAACTGTGTGGAGGACACACTGGCCGGGAAGGTGTGGTCAGCAAACTGACGAATATCTTCACCTGAGAAACAAAAGATATTAAGAATATGTAATATGATAATTTACACCTTTTGTGAGTATATTTTTAACATTAATGAGTAAGGGTGACTCATATTCAGAAAGTGAGTTTTTGAGTTGATTAGGTGAGATTTAAATGTATTTACCTCCCGGGTAGGTACTCAGAGACACCTGGAAGTGGCACATTGCTTCGTCTAAAAACACTCTCTCCCAGGAGATAAAGAGGACGTTAGGATCCGTCAAATAATCAGTGTCTTTCCTAGCATCAGATCTGTCAAGATCTTTTATCTAGGAATAAAAACGTATTTCATTCATTTACCTAACGATACTGAAGAAATTATCAGTTTAAAAGGTTTGATAAAACTGCAAGTATTGCTTGTATATTCTCAAAGATCTCACTTATTAGAAGAGCACTGTCAAAGAAAAAAAGATAAATGTTTGCGGTATTGTAAGATCCTTTTTGTACAACGGACTCTCTATAATTCTCATACCTTTGCACCTCTGACTGTTGATATTTTTGGTGGTGTGATATCCAGGGTGATGCCATCTGATCTGAACACTGCGTATGTAGTAGAATTATACCAGGTCCTGATGAACACATGATACTTGACTCCCTTCTGCATCTTGTGATCTATAGTAAGGGATAAAGGTGTGCTTATAGCCGCTTTTAAACACTATGTTTAAGACCGGTTGGAGTCTGGATGGGTGATAATTACCCGAGCCAGGTTTTCCATTCATAAATACCTTTTCTGTAAAAAAAAAAATAGTCAAAACTTTTCGGTCCACAAGTCAAAATATATATATTTTCAACAATTTTATTTAACAATTTCCCTTCATGTTTTTCGAAACACCCCTCTAGCTATATCATGGAATTTCCATGTCGCAGAACGCAGCTGTGCCGGTGTAGTGTGAATTTAGGACTATAAAATACTGACTCACCGGTAGTATTATGCATGCCTACCTGAGGATTTGGAACGACCAATTAATCTAACATTTATCGGCACCGGATTTCATAGGAGTCCAAATTTAATGTGACACTGGAAAAGTATTAAAGACCAGCTAGCCGATCTTTATCATCCGTTTAAGACCGGCCACGAGACGGGCTCTCAACCAATATGAATAGGTAAACTGTCTTAGTTGTTATGAATAGATATTAACATTAGTTCCTTTGCTTCTTTTATCCTATCAAAAGGGGAAAAGGGCAAGTTCAATATGACATTCTGTTTAGTTCCTGTTTAGTTTATGCCCAAAACTACCCGTTCCCAAGCATTCTATGGATGTATCGATTCATCATGAAACAAATACAATGTAAAACAATGTAGATACCTGTTAACCTTAAATGTGATACCTTACCAAATTACCATCACACTAATTATGTTAAACGTTTATTTTATTTATTTATTCATCATTTATATATTGTTTTATTTTTAAAGTAATATACAGCCTATGCTTTTGCTGTAATTTTCAGATGTGGATGGATTTGGGGGTTAGTATTTTAAAGCAAAAACTTTAACCACTGACATGTTCAAAGTTTTGTGTTCATAGATGCTGGACAAACCAAGAAAAACGTTGTTATGTTTCTAGTCAGGTTATCGGACCCTACGGGCGATTTACCGATGTCGGGGAATTGTCAGGTCAGGAAACCACCTGGATAGCTGGCTTGCATCTGCTCATTGGTGTGTATACCGATTGCAAACAAAATGTGGACTAACTAAACTTGGTAAGTTGGGGCAGCATTTAGAAATTGATACAAACATTCTACTTTTTTTGAAAATGACAACACACTGGGTGTCATGATTTCACAGGATGCTTGAGATTATTTTTCATTTAGAGTCAAGTAAGATACTTCTTAATAATTTGGTAGTTTTGTTTTTTGATGTTTGCAAATGTTGTATATTACCATAAACTGAACGGATTTCTTTACCTGCATCCAGCGTGATGATAGTTCGGTTGTCTTGTCCAATATCATACCATATCCTATCCCGAACTGGATCAAAGATTCCAATAGGTTTTGATGAGGAGTCATCACCGATGCTCCATTCAAACCTGCAAAAAGTATATATGAAATGTGATGAGTAGCGCTTATGATCAGTGTGTGTCTCAAAGTGAAAAGGTAATAGCAACAGTTATTGAAGTTATCAGAGAATTCCTGTTATGAATCGAGTCTTCAAATATTAACACTAGCTGATAACTGTCAAATTAACTTCTTGATATCCAACTCATTCCGCTCATCATATCTTACTGACCTGAGTAAATGAGTTCTAAATTTCCATCTTGCGATTATATCATAAACGTCGATCATAGATATATATTTAAAAAAACTTAAAGGAGCATTGGCCAAAATAGATGACACATATCAATTGTGTAGTCGATACAAATCATATATTGTCTCACCACTTAATGTCCAGTCCTTTCTGATCAGTCACTCGCCATACTGCAGCAGCCATATACTGAGTAGCGGTGTCATTAATGTCAGTCACCCCATTGATATCATCATACATCAGTTCTAATACATCCAGAACTTCTATCTCAGTGTTGGGATTACCTTTAGGTCATCGTGAAAGAAATTGTCAAGACAATCAAAATAAAAGAAAAGTTTAACAGTACTGGTGTGAATCCTGCATAAATAGTTGTCAAGCCAAATTTTAATCATAACATATGATTATCAATGTTCCATTTAACCCTAAAGGGGCCGGGTTATTTTGACCATCTCTCAGCCGGGGGGGGGGGGCGGATTCCGCCCCCCCCCCTAAGATCTCGGCCATCGAGTGACGAAAAATTTTGAAACTCAGCACATGCATAGAGCAACTCTTCCTAAACATGCCCAAGAAATTTCATGACTATAGGTCAAAGGGTTTTGGAATTATGGCTAATTAATTATTTATATGTATGAATGGCAATTCTGCTCTGTGTACACGACGTATATGCGAAAATTCAGTTTTCACGGCGCGTAGCGCTGAAAAATTTTTCGCTACGGGCCAACCCGTGGTCCGATTTTTATGTTTTTGGTATCAAAAGATGCGCAAAGCTCGAGGCTAAAAAGTCTTAACAGCACGGGTCGCGAAAATTTTTTTTTTAGAAGCTATCGCGGAAAATGTTGAGGGGGGGGGGGGGCGGATTCCGCCCCCCCCGGCCCCTTTAGGGTTAAAGATGCTTTCTCGCACCTCTAACACTCATTCCTTCACCATCTTCTCATGATTCTCAGAAAACATTACTCTGTAATCTATTTGTCACGTTTTGTCAGTTAACGTGTTAATATTCAGCTTTGTTCATGGAAGCACCAAAAAATCAGTGTCGCTGCTTATTATAAAGCTTAACTATATAACAGACAGAGGGTAGCTTGGAAACCTTGTGAAATTAAACCATTAGACCTTGTACCGCCCAAAAGTGCCTGACTTGTTGCTTCTTATACGTCCCAAACCGACCCCGCACTTAATGGTTTTATCGATTCATCAATGAGTAAATACAATGTAGTGCAATGTAACAAATAGTGCCAACAGCATTACAAATTAGATTTTTACAACCCATATGATGATTTGTGCTGAAAATTGCTACCCATGCTGGCAAATTCAGCACAAATCGTTCATTCATTTTCAAAATACTGGCCTCCCAAAACCCAATAATTTTACGTTAACGACTCGCGAGTGCAAAAAGTGAGCGTGGCACTCTATTTGTTGAGGGTCATAATGTCAGAACACCTTAAGAGTTGGAGCCTAAAATGTTGAATGCGTTCATTATACATAGAATGGTACTTCAAGATTTCATTAGAGCCAAATCTGAGTCGGTCGACATGGGATCTCTGGTTGAGTTCAGCTAAACTTACTGTGAGTGACATCAGCGCAATACTGGTCTAGACTACATGCTTTATCAATGGGTGCACATGCACAATGACCCCTGCATGTTGTAGGCAAGCAACGTCGCAGCAGGACAAGGGAGCCCTCGTATGGTTGATTAGGAGAGGTTTCGAAAGTGGAATGATGGCGGCTGCTTGGTATCCCAACCTAGGGAGATATTAAAAACAATATAACGTCAAAAAAACTGATTATCAGATTCTGATTTGCCAATGAATCACTTCCAGACAGTTTAAACACAATCAGTGAAAATAATGTAGTATCCTGATGCCACTTCTGTGGTTGTGTAAAAAGTCTATGGAAAGTTGAGTGCATTTTCAAAGTATTTTCTAACCAATTTCTCAGTCCCACATTCATGTCTTGGCAACATTTGATTTGCAATGACTGACCTTCATTGAGATTATATATAATAGGAAAAAGTGGCGCCAGGATGCAACATGTTTCAGAATCAAGAGGGTGTTTTATGTTTTTATAATATTGTTAGACCAAAATTTGGACCGTCTCTAAGCACCCATACAACCACACTCACAACAGGTGTTTCACATTACACCCTAAAGTCTTCACGTCACTCTTTTTCAAGCAAAACACCCACAGCATACCAAGAGTATGATTTCACTCTTGTATAGAGGAAAATGACTTCATAAGGGTACTCCCCGAGATTGACCATTACGTCAGTCCATGGTAGGTCTACCTTTACTCAAAAACGATGTCATGTAAGTTATGGTTTCCTTATATGACATTATATCCTATTTCCACTCAAAGCTGCCCCTCTAAAACTGTTTAAAATGTCCACATTTTCCCACTTTCATTGAGTTCTCCTTCTTCTCCCTGGGAAACCAGAGGAATAGCCCTAAGCTGATTCAGCCCTATGCTCTAGCCAGTATTCATCTACGATATTCTGTTTTCCGTCTCCTACTTCTGTAATTATACAAGATCCGGTGGAATTGAGTTCTCAAAAATATTTTTTCCCAAAGCTAAGCTCATACAAGTGTGTCTTTGTAATCTTCGAATTCATCGTTCATTACGCTCATAGCCACAGCTACCGTTACATAACATATAAATAAAGTCAAACATCCCAAAGACTATATATAAATCTTTATATTACACTGTGTGTATAGATTCATAACGAGAATTACAACTCATTACCCCATTAACAGCCCAGATGGAGATGTAGAGATACGGATGAGTTGGGTCTGTTATACTGCCCTCTAGTGGTATGATGGCTGTCTGTGCGATGCCTTCGTCCAATGACATGCCGTCATTGCTGTGATTCATGCGGACTGGTCCATTCTGGGGAAAACAAGATGTTAATTGAATTCACTTGCGACACACAATAGCTCCGTGAACTGGATAAAATATCACGTTGTTGAAAACCAGAATTGGTTGTGCTACTTGAAGAGTCAACTAAAGTAAAGAGCATTTAAGATTCTGCCAATTAATACAGCAGAAAAACTTGACATAAAAAAAACTGAGGCAGAAATGCAACCAACAGAACGCACCAATAGAAGATCAAATACAATTGAAAAAAAATGGTAAACAACTGATTAACAATTTACTTTATTTATTTTTTTAATTTACATTGGTTACAATGTTGAAATAATTACGCAATTATCTCAAAAAACACATTTTCCATCCATATATGCTGGACTTGAAAAGCCAAAGAAAGCACACAGGTACCGGAGTGAGTTCAGAGCCGCTGTACGTGCGTCCGACGGAGACCAAGTAGTGGCTGATACCAGAGTGTACATCAGCAAATCCCAGCCAGGCAAGGGCTAAGGAACCAGTGGATGTACGGGGGTCTTCAAGCCACGTCATCCAGCCAGAGTGGTAGCGTGGAGGAGATGGGGTGGTCGCTGGACTCTCCGTGGTAGAGTCGATTGAGTCGGTGGCGTTACCAACATCTGTTGTGTTTGTTCCATCAGGCTGTGTTGGAGGCAAGTATGAGAATCACAACACATAACACAAAAAAATAACACGAGCTGTTATGACTTTTAAACCTCGAACCTTGCGCATCTTTTGATACCAAAAACATAAAAATCGGACCACGCTACGCGCCGTGAAAACTTAACTTTCCCATATACGTCGTGTACACAGAGCACAACTACCATTCGTACTTATGAAAAATTAATTAGCCATAATTCCCAAACCATTTGGCCTATAGTCATGAAATTTCTTGGGTATGTTTATGATGAGCTGCTATATGCATGTACTGAGTTTCAAAAAAATTTCGTCACTCGGTGGCCGAGATCCCGGCTGAGAGATGGTCAAAATAACCTGGCTCTTTTAGGGTTAAGGGAAACTGTGTTCTTTTATGATGCTTGCAATCCATGTATACTAAGACATCCAATTATTGATAAGGGGAACTTCTTTTTGATGAGATGCTGCAGAAATACTACTTGGAGATTTTAACATGCACATAGCAAATCATCATATAGACATAGACGTATTTTCTAAATTACTTTTTTTTTATTCAAGAAGAATGAAAAAAGCAATAACAATTAAGCATTAGTCTACTTTTCTTCTTTGAAAGCTGAATGTTAAAACAAATCTCCAAAACTCTCCAAGTCTGAACAGTAATATCAAAAACTTACAGAGTTAGTACAGTTGATTGAGTGGGTGGTGTTACCGACTTCAGTTGCATTTGCTCCATCAGGCTGTTTTGGAGGCAAGTATATGAATCACACCACACTAACTTAAAAAATGTTCACATTCACAAAAAAACGTTAAGGTGCTCTTTTTGTGATGATGGAAGTCAATGTATCCTAAGACATCTTATTACGTTTAAAGCGCCTCTACAAGACCCTGATAGTTTAATATTACATGGTACATGTATTTCTTGTTCTTGTCTTTTTAGTGCCAATGTAAACAACTGTGATTAACCTTGTCTCATATTTTTCATGTTTTTATTGCTTGTTTTTGTATTTTTATACTATCGTATGTTTGTTGTAATTGCTGAGCACCTTTGAAAAACAGTGTTCCACTGAAAGGTCTTCCCATGATAAACACGATATCAATAAATAAATAATAAATATTGATAAAAGGACCTTCTTTTTCATGAGAAACTGCATTTGCTACTGGGAGATTTCAACATGCAAACAGCGAACAAAACTGGTACTGTAATCAGCCTGTCAAATGGTTTCTCCTTAAGCAAACGTCCTAAACCCGTTTTCAATTATACATTTCTATCTTCTTTTTTAAATATAACATAATTATGAACTATCTAATGTACGATTTTTCAGAAGAATTAATAAATAAATAGCAACAACATTCAGCATTTGTTTTTCTTCTTTGAAAGCTTATTGCTAATACAAATCTCCAAAATTCTCCAGGTCGGAACAGTAATATTAAAAACTCACAGTGTTAGTAGAGTTGATTGATTCGGTGGTGTTACCAACATCAGTTGTATTCGTTCCATCAGGCTGTTTCGGAGGTTAGGATATGAATCACACCACATAACTCAAAAAATGTTCACATTTACAAGACAAGTTAAGGTGCTCTATTTGTGATGTTGGCAGTCAATGCATTTTAAAACATCCTATTATTGATAAGAAGTCTGTTTTTCATGAGAAACTGCATTTGCTACTTGGAGGTTTTAACATTCAAACAGCATAAGTTACATTAATCACCTTAAGCCTGTCAAATGTTTTCCCTTAAACAAACTTCCTGAATATTTTTTTTTTCAATTATAAATTCATATCTTCTTATTTAAATATTACAGAATTATGTACTTTCTAAAGTACTATTTTTTGAGAAGAATTGAAACAAAAATAGCAATAACGATTCAGCATTTTGTATTTTTTTCTTCTTTGACAGCGAAATGCTAAAGCAAAGCTCCAAAACTCTCCATGTCTGAACAGTAATATCAAAAACTCACAAAGTAAGTAGAGTTGATTGATTCGGTGGTGTTACCAACATCAGTTGTTAATTGTTCCATGCAAACAGCAAACCAAAACCGGTACTATGAACGCGTTAAGCCTGTCAAATGTTTTCCTTAAACAAACTTCCTAAACATTTTTCAATTATAAATTACAATTTTCTCATGTAACATAACATGCAGACGTACTTATTAAAGTGTGATTTTTTTTTAGAAGAATTTAAAAAAAAACAATACAGATTCAGAATGTTGTCTGTTTCCTTTCTTTGTAAGCTAATTGCTAAAAAAATATCTAAAACTCTCCAAGACTGAACAGTTATATCAAAAACTCACAGTTGTACTTGGTTCAGTTGGAGTAGTTTCAGCTGATTCAGTTGGAGTAGTTTCAGCTGGTTCAGTTGTAGTAGTTTCAGCTGGTTCAGTTGGATCAATCCAGATGATATGATGACGATCCAAATTAGCAGCACTCTCTGTGCTCACGGCAAAAGTCCCGACGGAAGATGGGCTGCCATCAACCTGGGGAAGAGAAATGATACAGTGCCATTAAAGAGAACTATAAGGGTTATGAATGGGGATAAATTAGGACAGCAATTACAATTATGGCGACAACAGGTACAGACACTATGACATGTATGCATGGCAACTCAAAGAACTGAATCAATCACTCTGATTTCTGGAAAGATCTACCGAAGAAAATGTAGAAGTAATGACAACTGTCATGAGAGGTCAGGTTGGTAAAGGTACATTTGTGGTTATGATCTGAGGTTGCGAAGTGGGCATCACCTACCAAAAAGGGTTCCGTCTTGGCCTGTGTGCAGAGACCAGCAAAGTTACAGGCTACTACGGTAACGATGTAACGACTGCCTTCATGTAATGTCAGATTGTTGACTGTGTAGTCCAATTCACTCCCTGCAATCTTCAAATACCAGAATCGGATCAATTAATTGACTAAAGTTACCCTTAAAAATACACTACAACCCAATTCTGACAATATAAGGCACTGTGACAAATGGTTACCTTCGACTGTCTAAAAGGTGGAACAGTATATGTCAAGCTGTCGCCCGGACTGATTGCATATGTTGATTTATTTGGCAAACTACTTTCATTCTCACCCCTCCCATCTCAACCCATGAATATTGAATATTTTTATACAGATAGAAAATTTACCTTTATGGAAGGTATATTCACATCTCCATTGTGATGTGTGCTGACTGATAAATACTGGTCTTTAATACCACTTTCAGGGTCACTGAACTTCCAGGAAAAGTGAATCAGATCCCGCAGAACCTAAACAAAGAATTTACACGTTACCTTTCAGTGATGCTAGAATGTATATATAGTCTGGCTCCATCCCATTCAACAGTTCACAATTTATAAAATGCATTCAGGGAACATGACGACAATGGCCTCCTCGTGAATAAGGTCCATATGGTTGGATAGGTCAGTAGGTGGGCAGCCGCCTGCGGAAAACAATCTGGCGGTAGAAGATTGACACACCCCCTCCAGCTTATTTCTTTGTTCAAATATTTGTTTTTTTAATTGAGCAATTTTAGTAGGAAGGATACGTTATGAACATTTTGTGCTTGTGTATAGTAAAAATCTGTCAGTTTCGATTGCTAAATTTTCTCATAGGGATCCACAATTGTCAAAAATGGAGAGCAAATTGTCTGTTCCTCTGCTACATGTTCCTTCTGCTTATTTATTACTTAATAGTCTTTTCAGTTCAATGCAAATACAGGGTAGTCACAGATATATATGGCCATTTTTAATTGTGAACCATTTTGGTTTCTTACTTGAGTGTTTCTGACAGCCATCCCCTGAGTCACATCCACAACGGGTGCATCCACTACATCAGGAGGACTAGAGTCCACACGGAACCCATTAGATGTAGCCTGACTCCACATACCAAGCCGGTTATAGGCGCGTACAGTGATGTAGATATCAGTGCCAAGAGGCATCTGGTCTGATACTGGTAGGAATATCAGAGCATCTTCTGACAGCTCAATGCGTGTAGAGGGGAGAATGTCTGCAGCTCCTGCAGTCGTGCCGGCGTGCCATTCGTAGTGGGAGAGGCCCGAGTGAGGATCATGGAAGCCCCACCAATGAGCTCGCAATTGACGCCTTATGAATCATGCAAAACAAGAACACGGAACACATCATAACAACAACTCAAGTAGATAGATGTTATGCCAAAATATCTTTATTAACTCCTTTCGATTCCAAACAGCACACTTCAATTTGAGCAGCTACCATAAAAGGGCGGCAGAGTAAGCCAGTACAGAATTAATTATGTTGGTCACAGGTTGAAATCCAACACTTGTCAAAATGCATAAAAAAACCACCCAAATGAACCACTAACGATTTACCCCAGAATTAAGCACTGATGGCCTTGCAAGGAGACTGCTGACATGGGACTAAATAAATTTAAATGTACTGGGCTCTAGTAAAGTGGAGATATCTAGATTATCCATTTAGATTATGCATCAGCTAGTATCTTTTCACGCTTTTAGCACTCTGACTTTAAATTGGGGGTTGGGGTTAGTATTCTCCACTTTAGAGAGTTTTTGTAGTTTGTGACTCACCTTGACGATTGGTAGCTGATATCACCACCCCCAGGACCACCATCATAGACACGCCCCTGCAATGGGGGAGAGTCATCCACCGTGACCCCATCAGAGGTCACTGAGGTACAAAGGTCAGCCACGTTACAGGCCGTCACTGTCACGTAGTAGGTCAGACCGGGCACCAGGTTCAGGTTTTCAGCACGGACACCTGAAAAGTTATATATGAACACCTTGGTTTAGATGGTTTATCATTATTTCTAGAATACAAAAATCCAAGTCCACAGGAAATTGATATAGTAAACGATGCACTTGATGAGATATATTGAATAGGATTACATTCAAAGGCTGCGTAGATGTTTTTACGAGTACCCTTATGCTCTACAAGGGAAATTCTCAAGCGAGTTAAAGGGAAAACAATGCAAATGTGCCATAAACCCCATCTGTAAGGTTGCTCTAACTATGCATACTCCTTGTGGACCCGTAAACAAAAGAGTTCCACATGGTACGTTAAGTGGTAACGCGTTGTGGACTTGCCCACGTCTACACACCCATTTCCCCCATCTGGAAAACAGGTTTAGAGGCATTTGGGGGTTAGGGTTATTCGTCGAAAAATGAAGAATAACACCCAATGAAATCATAATTTGGGGTTGAAAGAGAGTTCACATTGCAACTAAAATAAGTTCTTTTTTTTCTCCGGTTTTTCTTAATAACACGAATAGAAAGGAATGTCCACAGTAGGTATGGAACATGCTGGTGTTTTACGAGAGCTGTCTTATGCACACAAAGGGAACAATGGTACTCCGCATGTCAGCCTTTGTAAAACGGTATCCCAGAAGAGAAATTGTAAAGAAAAGAGAGAAAGGGAGAACAATGCAAGCACCCCATAAACCCCATATACATGTGTGGGTTCGTGTGGGTCGGTTTTTACATTCAATAGGTGACGTTGGACAACAGAGGACAATAGGGTCCACACTTTCCGGAGGTCCACAACTGAAGATCGTGTACAAAACATATGGGAGGCTTTCTTTAAAAGTTTAAGTACAAATAAAAGAGGGACAATAGGGGTCCATAATTGAAGGTGTTTACACACTTGAGTACCTACACGGTTACGTTACTGGCTAGAAAAAGACTGTGGAACAATATACCCCATAAAGAACTCTTTCAAAATCAATCTACCTAGCGAAGAAAACGCTATGGAGATTGAGATTTCAATATCAACAAAGGAAAGAATCAACAAACAACAGAAGGAAACAATGTCTTCCCCATGAGTATAATCATGTGTTTTTGGCTGCATGTATCATTGTGCGTGTTTATGGTGTAAATAGAGGACACACATGTGAAGCATCATCGAGTAATTGAGGACAGGGGTCAAATCGACGGCGACCTCGATTGGAAGAGGTGTACAAAACCAATGGAAGCTGTTGCAATGAAGTTAGAGTATAAACAAACGATCGATTATGAGGAACAAAAGGAAATCCTCAATTTACACCATAACCAAAACCTGCTGGGTTGGTCACTGCAAAATCCCCTTCAACACGGGCGATAGGTGGCAAAGCCGAGACAAAGCCTCGTCAAGCTTAATTTAGCAAATATATTTTTTCAACTTACCAGTGTCCAATCCCACATGCTGCTCAGTCACAACATCGCTACATCCTGAACACATCCCAGCTCTCCAGGAATAACCAACAATGGCGCTGTGCGGGTCATGAAACCCTTTCCAGAACGCCTTGATCACCGTGCGATCCTTCTGGAAGTCTCGGTCTGTGTGATTGGCCGGGGCTTCCGCTGGGTCCCCATCAAGGACGTGGCCAGCCAATGGGGGGCTTGCATCAACTGTGAATGCTCCGTAACTCTTCAGTGTGATCAGGCCCACAGTATTGATGGCCTAAAAAGGGTCAATATAGAAATCACGTGACTTTGATAAACTCATTGTGTTTTTTTGTTTTTCGTGATCACGATCACATACAAATCTATGACTAATGTTATCACCCTTCAAAAATATTAATACAAACGAAACAATTTTACAGCTTACCTTCACAGAAATGAAATATGAGTGACCTTCTTGAAGGTGCAAAGGTCGTGATGGGTCACTGACCCCTATCTCTGTATTCTCTCTTGTAAATGGCATGATGTCTGCATGACCTGGATGTGAACCCACAGCCCACTCATAATATGCTACACCACTCTCCTTGTCTGAGAAGACATTCTTCCACCTGACATAAATAACAGTAAACTGGTATGAAATAATCACACTAAGCATCCAAATATTAAGTAAGTAGATAGTTTTTGAGATTTAGAAAAATACCCTGTGATTCGAAATGAAGATTCTTTGAGGATATTCAAACATTGTGGCCTACTACTGTAATCAAAACTTACATAAGTTCTTAATGATGCAAGGGGCCTGACATCTCAAAAAAATGCATTTTGTATTGCCACAACGAGACGTTAAAACGTATTGCACATGCAGAATGTCAGAAAAGTAGACGTCTTTGATTGCTGTATTTCAGTTGCGTGCACACACAAAAGAGTGTGCCACTTCTTTGTGTCAAGTTGAGAAGTATGACAAAATGAGAATGTCCTACCTTGCTGAGATGGAAGTTGTAGACCGGATGAAGCTGCCTCCAATGTCCAGTGTGTGATCAGCACTGATGACAGGAGGCGACATATCAATGGTAATTGAGTCTGACATGGCGTGTGATGACAGACCAACAAAGTCAGTCGCTGATTGGAAAATTAAAGACACCAGTCAATAGAACCACATGAAGGAAAGAAAACTTGATGTGGTGGCAGTCTACGATCGAATACTTACTTGTAGTGCCACTACATTTGCATATTCCCCTAACTGGCATGTTCCATTCGCTATGGCCGAGTTTGGGTGGTCTGTTCTAGACGGCGAGGGTGTATTGTTCTCCGCTCGAACGGTTGGAACACGGCCCTAGAACACTGCACTCGGAACAGGACACATCACCTATCCGTCAGGGTTTCGCAAGAACAATAATACCCGCGTCAAGAACAGAGCGCCTGAACTCGGCCTGAGTTCATAAAACAGCGCCCCCTATGCTACCCTTACTGCCCTGTCTCACGGTCTCACACACGCCATCTTGGCTTCACCCGTTTTTTCGTGCTAGTGGGGAGGAAGGGGGTTCTCTACAGGTGATCATTCCACCGTCGACTCCCACAACTATACTGTGGGGGAAAGTCTACTTCACTTAGAGTGCGTTCGATTACTTCCCCCAGCCATACTCGCGCCTGGATCCTCGCGTGATGACAGACATGCACATTGGAGTTAAATAGACGAACGGTTTCGGGCAAGGTTTTGTGCAAGAGCTGGGAAAGTTGAACTTTGACATGACACAGGCTGCCTCCGAATCAACTGCCTAGGTCCACGCCAATTAAAAATACGCGGGGACGCGGTGACAAGACGTAGCCGTAGCTCTGGAGGCCCGTTTCGGACACGGCCTGTGGCGCCCGCCGGACGTCACGTTAGCAGCCATGTTTATTGCGTGGCCTTATGGGATACTTACCCAAGTAACCGGCTCGGCGAGTTGGTTACTTGGGCCAGGCTTGAGTAAGCGCGAAAAGTCACGTCAGAGTTAATTCGAACGCTGTCGCGCTTGCACGAGGAAGCGGGGGAAGTAATCGAGCGTACTCAATATTTGCCTGTAGGGCCACTAAATTTGCAAAGAGTATTACCGCCTTGAGGTGGCGGGCAGTGAGATATGTGTATTCAAAGTTCTAATGTCATTAGTAGTGAAGTACATTGATCTTATAAACTCCCTGTAAACTCTGTGTAATAGTCAAACAAAAAAAATACATTATGGAACTACCATGAAATGAGTAGTTAAAGAATTAAGCATTGAATGGGACTCACATGGGAATGGGACACAAGTCAAATCCAATGTTAAGGTCTTTTTTTCAGTAGTTTTGGTGGCAGACTTCCTGGCAGCCAATAGGACTCTGCGTCCAGGTCTACCCTCAAACGTCAATACATCTTTCAGGTATAGCAGGCTGAGAATGTGTTAGGAGATTTCCAGCAAGCAGCTTTGATGATATCTTTTCAGGGAACACCGTTTAGAAGGCCCAGGATGTTGCAACCTCTTACATAATGTGCACGAATGTTTGATCTGGACCGACTTGGCCAGTCGGTTGCTGCCGATTTTATTGCTGTCACAATCCAACGTGTGATTGTGTCTTGATATGCTGGCCGATGATGCGATGAAGACGTAATAAAGATCTGTTTCTCTGACCCCTTTATAGTTTTTGTTTGGTCAACATACCATCTCAGAGCTCGTACTGGACACCACAGCTTATCTCATGGGATTGATGAGAGCAATTTTATTTTTGGGACGAATATATCCGGTGGTTGAAAGGAAGTTGATTGATTTGTTTGTCAGGAATCCTGAGTTAGGAATCCACCGCACGCATATGGTTCACACCGTAAATGAAAATTTTCTTTTTTGAGTGCATGTAGCTGCGGAATCTGGCAGTAGATACAGCTAGCAAAAATACCACCTTTATTGAAATTTGTATTAGTGAAGCCTGGTCCAAGGGTTTAACGGGGCTTTCAAAAGATCATCCAGAACATGAGTATAAGGTCCCTGGAAAGCAGAAGTTCACGTGCTGCAGGTCGTGATTTTGTACTGCGAGGATTCCCCGCGATGTGGGTCCAAAACACCGCTTAACCTGTATTTTTTTTCTTTTCTTATCTGAGGCTTTGGATATTTTTTTTTCAAGAGAAATAACGTCCGAATTTTATTACGTTCGAATTCATTTTTTTTTTCTAATTTCATTTTTGTTCTTCATGTTTTTAAGAAAAGTATAAGTCCAAAACGTCATAGCTGTACTATGCATATGTCGATTGGGAAAAGAATCGCTGGCGGGAAAGCGAGACGTATTCGTCCGCCGAGCCAAGCACTGAAGGGACAGACGACCTCGCGGCAACGCCCTTCTGAAGTGACATATTTGTTTCCTTTTTTATTAGCTTTCTCTTTACGAACAAATAAACAGTCGACATAAGGCCAAAATAGTCTCCGGTTTCTGGTATGGAGCTTGCCCAAAAAGTGGTGCGGCGACGAGGCTTTTTTTTACCAAGTTTTTTTTTTGCTTCAAATGTCGGCTGATGACTGCAAATGTCGCCCGACTAAAATTAGTGCAAATGTATGGGAGTGCAGAGAGGCCACATAAAGCTTATTGTCGATCATAACCCCATCGTTAAAATTGTGCAGCAGAAGGATTCCAGTCAAAACCAGTGAGTTTGGCGGTTTTGAGACATCATCGTTTGTTATTTTTTTTTTCATTTTGCCGACGCGCATGGCTACGGCGACGCGCGCGCATACCAGAAACCGAATACTTTTTGTTTGGCCTAACAAGGTGTTGTTACTTAAATTTTGGGGGGGGGGAACAAACATATAAGACAATGTCCTCAATTTGTGGAGGTACTTCGAAACCCCCTTTTTTGCCCTGCCGCTAAGAGAAAAGAGGAAGCCAAGATGGCAAACTCTTATCAAAAGGAACTTGCCGGTAAGGGGAATATGCAAATGTAGTGGTTCTACAGGTAAGTTGAGTGAAGTAGACTGTTATTGTTACAAACTGCAAAATCTTTGCATAGATTTTCATTTTGATTGGTTGTGACCATGATCATGTGACCACAGATATATAACACTTTACCAGAGAGACTTAGATGTTAGGACGCCTGATTTGAGAGCATGGAAATTGAATTGAATCACACACAAAAACATGAAAATCAAAGCACTTATGTTCATTTTCCTTCTTTGAATACCACATATTTATATTGACTACCTCACCTCTAACTGTGGCATAGTATGTGTGTCCATTCTGTAATCTCAAGTTGTGTACGATAACGCTGTTAGTGATTCCTACACGAGTGAATTCTATCACGTCACTGCCACTTCGCATCGAACCTGCAACATATAACAATTGTATATAACATTACAAAAAAAACAAAAAAACAAAACAAGTGCGACTGCACAGTAAGCTCTGGCCGTCTTGCATGAAAGTCTTGCATGAAATGATACAATTACACATTATACTGACTTGATCGTGATTGTCAAATGAAATAAGGATTTCCTATTTCATGAAAGTCTTGCATGGAATGATACAATTACAAACTTGGTGGTGATTGTCAATTGAAATAAGAATTTCTCATTTTGTTTTAAGTCACAATGCAAATAATGGTGACCTCAAAAAAATCAGACATGGAGACATTTCATAACTGACCTCTGGTGATCTTCAAGGGGTCAGTGAACTTTGCGTAACCTAGTTATTGATTGTAAGGGGATTTACTATTCAAAACGCCATTTTTTATTACCCATATCTAAATTTTGGGTATTCTTGCCATCGTATGAAGTTTCATATTTGACCTCTGGTGACCCTGCGAGGTCTCTGAACTATGTGCAATCTGATTGCCGTTATTGATCATCTTCAATCTTGCAAATGCCATTTTTTTCATGACCGAAAAAATCTGATCAGAGCAAAAGGAGAGTATTTTAATAATTATTCTACAACATGTCAGGAAGTCATGACCTCTTACCTCAATTTTCCTATTTATAAGGGAAAAAAAACCCCGAAAGAATATAAACGACATATCGGACAAGCATCACTCTCTTACAGTCACCATTGGGCTGGGCAAAAAGGTTCAAAAGTGGCTTTTCAAGTCCATCTGGATACAGTAGGGTGTAATAAGTACACAAGAGTGAATATTGCTTGACATATGTACATTGTCCATTATCAAACAGACCAACAGTTTTCTATTCGAATCTCATCATATTGCGCCTGCTAAAAAAACAAATGAGAAATGAGGTCAGAGGTCACTCAACTTTGTTTGTGGGGTCTAAATTCATAACATGACTGTAAACTAATAGGTGCAATACCGTTCTTTGGCACGTTTGACGCTTAGGTCACGAAAAAAATGGCGTTTTGACGAATAAATATGATAAATAACGGCAACTAAGATATACAAAGTTCATTGACCTCTCATAGGTCACCAGGGTCAAATATGAAATGCCTCCATATATCTGATATTTTTCTTCATGGCATGAAGAACCACCATGCGAAGTTTCATGCTTTTATCACAATTTGCACAATCATTTAGCATTTTGGGGCTATGCCGCACCACTATAATGCAACTGTATCCTCACTCCAAGCCCTCCAACTAGCTCCTCAAGTGTATATATACAATGTCACGAATTGTTACACACAATTTTTGTCAAATCATGTGTTGAATGTCATTTTTTTTGGGGGGGGGGGCAGTTTAATTTGGTAATTACAGCTTTGTGGGTGAGTTAGGGGGTTCGTTTTGGTCATTTGGCCGACCGACCGTTCGACCGACCGACCGACCGACACCCAAGTGAGATGTTAAAGCTCTGTCGCCAGAGCTTCAAAAGAATTAACAAAATTTGTACTTGGATAATTAAACCCAAGATGAAATCGGCTGTTTGAATAAAATCTAAAAATTGGATTTACAACCACGAAACGCTGGTATGTAGTTTCACATAAGTTTATCATCATATTCCCAGCCATAAAACACTTCAATGAGACCTTGGTTATTTTTTTTCTACTATACAAACTGTTTACTGATGACTGGTAGAAAAGATGTAAATTGCACTCGCAAATCGCAATACAATCTTACCGTTTTCATCAAAATCATTGAAATATAATAAATAAAAATGATTTAAAAGGTACACAAAATGTTTTAAAAATCAGACTTCTGAAAAGTTTCATCTCTGTTAAACTGGATCATAAAAGTTTATCAGTGATCTCTGGACAATCTATATCGAAGTTTAAAATCACAGCGGCACTAGCAGATATACACAATGGAATAATGTAAGATTTACAGATTCTCAAAAATACAGAAACGAAACGATTGTGGATGGTTGTTCCTACCAATGGCATATTCATAGTACTTGACCCCTGAGTGATGACTAGCCAAACCATGTTCCTCAATGTCAATGAAGGACTCCCACTGTAGGACTAACTCTGAGCTGGAACTCTGTCAAAAACACACAAACATGGAAAGGTAAGGTTCAAAATCAAAGAAAAACCCTCACATCTTCTTCAAAACCTATTTCAAAACAATGGACAGTGTTTAAATGATACTTATATTGATACCTAACACTTTGTCAAATGTGATGATAATGTCAGCAGTGAGAAAATATTAGTGAAAAAGTGAGAAAGGTGGATTTCCTGGATACTGCAAAACACAAATGTGAAACCAAAAAACCCAAAGAAATTACTTGATAGGTTTGATGCTGGTTCCATCCAATCCAAAGAGAGCCAGGGGTCGGTGGGGTCGTATCTATGACAACACCATCGCTACAGCTGGACACAGCAGGCAACAGTTCATTCCAAAGCTCATGCTCTAATGTCACTTCATCAGCATGGATGCAAATGCGATAACGCTTGCCATGATGTAGAACCAAATCAAGAACGTTGACAAACTCTTTATCTACGAGATATACAAGTGTATCAGAACTATCATTTTTCGCTTCAAGGAATAGTCAAGTTGCAGCAAAGATAAATTTGCTTTTCCATTAGTTTCCACACCGTTTACTTTCAAAAACAAATGTTTTCTTGGGCTTATTTATCTTTTTCATGGGTCCATTTTATAAAAATGCACGGTTTCACTGATTTAAATTTCCTACCTGTATTCCCACAGGCAATCCTTTTTAAGTGATCACAAGGATACTGCAGACCATCATCCAAGTTTCCAAATGATCCGGTGTCCTCAATGGCTGCCCAGACGTAGGCTCTATGACGTAATGTGGGCCAGACTGCGGATAATGAGGACGTAGACGAGATGTAGTTCTTTTCTGGTTCCGGCCACACTGCATTCTGCTCCATGCTGACTTCATCTGTTTAAAAAGAAAAACATTTACAGGTTGTTTTTGTGTTATTCAAACTTTGGCCCAATCTACTGTTAGGTGCAATGGGTGGATTTGTGTTATCACTCTATCAAACAAAATTGCATTTGCACATTGGTGAATCCCCTTAAGAAATCTCATCTGTACTTCTCTTTCTAAAATCAATCCTCCTGAGCCATGAATAAGAAACAGTGATCGACCGACGGCACAATCGATGGGTAGCACATTTTATTTTGAAGTGCGCTGTATGCCCTTTTTAAATGCTCCCCAAACCGAGTAAATAATTTTCTGATGAACATGTAGTTGGATATGTGAGTCAGAGATTGTTAATTTTAAAGACATTCTTAAATGTTCACTTTGGAATTTCCAAGATTTATTCAAGTGCACCACATTACGGATCAACATTTGGCCAAACGTACGGATGCTACCGTTTTTGAATTTCGGCCAAAATCTCAGGACACTGAAATTATTTACAAGGGTTCAACAGCAACTTTTATCAAGGTAATAGTACCAGTATTTAACTGAATGAATTTGAAGTTTGTCAACTAAGAGGTTTGTCAACACTGCACAAGGAAATTCGGGGGAAACGTCAAAATTGCGCCACGTTGGAGGACTGCGGATTTACTGTAGAGCATGATCATCGGTAAATAAGTAGGCAACTGCTGCAAGTCATATCCTCACTTTAAAACACCAAATTAAATTAGAGCTATGTCTGTTTCATGAACAGAGAATAGGGCTTTTCCGCGAAATGATTTTTGTATGAGATCGTGCTTATTTTGTCAGGCAAATGATGAATGTAATACAAGAACAAAGTTTCGTGACTTATTTGCTCTTGGCAAACCTTGCAGTTCCCTAGATGTATGCATTTGGAAGAGACTTTACATTAGGCCAAAAAAAGAAATTGTTCATGTTTCCAGTTTTCTACCTAACCTTTTCTGACAGTCCCTATACCCTCTTTTTTATGGGGAAAATGAGATACCCAAAACCATCAATTTCTACCTTCTACCGTCGACTACAAACAGTCGCCTCCATATGATCATAAACACACACAAAAATGGCCCCGTAAATATAATTCCCTGCGTACCTACCCTATTTTCGAATGCTATGTAATCGGACGCAGAAATATTTTTTGGCCTTACCTATGATGACGTAATCATGACATCACCTCAATGTAAACCTTTGCCACATGTCTATTTAAACCTATACCCTGTCTATGTACATGCCAACTTTCAACCCAATTGGTCTTGCTTTTTTATAGGTTCTTAGAAACTGCACATATGACTTATGACATCACAACAACGTTACATGAGTCACGATGACACACGACGTCACATGACCCCTTACATGACCGGAAGGAAGGGTCACGTGATTTGGCACATACGACATAAAATGAAGATCCTGGATTATTCTGTCAATTCCCGAAAAAGTCAAGTTCAGGTCTCTCACGGTTGAATTTATATTGATTGTCAAAGATCAAATCTATTAATCTTTAACGTGACGTCACGTGACCCACGATGACGTCATCATGACGTCACACTTTTGGACACAGCTTTGCTATAGGAACTATGTCTATGGTTACTTTGAATGCTGTAGAACGTCCATGGGGTAGGGGATAGAACAAAAAGAAAGGCTTTCCCGCAGTATGCGAAAAAGCCAATAAAAACAACTATTCATTTTGCCCACCGAATATCTACTTCAGGACAGCAGAAAGCCCCAAGGGATGTTAACATGTACTTACGATCAGCATCGATGACAGTATGGGGGACAATCAGCTTCACGTTATCACAGTCCACAATCTCAGTGCTAGCGATGGATGACAGACCAGCCTTATTGTAGCCTCTCACTGATAACTGCAGACAGACATCTAGGTCTAAGGATCCACTGTGAGATGCTGTAAAGCGAGCCTGTTCAGCAAGACATGCAAGACTTAAGGTTGGGTAGTGAAACATTTTGTGTTAAAGTGCCCATGCAATGGAATTTGTTCAATGCAATCTTTGGAAATGCACCTATTTAACCCTATTTTCCATTTTCGTTTGCAATGTTCACCGGTATTTTGGTGCCTTTTTATGCTAAATGTGTATTTCCATATTAATAAGGAAAAGTGTGAAAAAAACTTCAATATTACAACTATTTTGGGACCAAAAGTTGCTAAATGTTTATCTTTTGTTTGGAGATTCGTTCACAACTTGAACAGCAAACCCCTAAGCTGAACAGTGAATTCTTTAAATGACACAGCACCCCAGCTGTCCGGAAAACAAACAAACAAAACAAACAAACACCCAACACCCCAAAAAACAAACCAACAAACAAACAAACAAACACCCCAACACCCCCACAAACAAACAAACACCCCAACACCCCAACAAAACACCAAACAAGCAAACAAACACCCCAACAAACACCCCAACAAACAAACAAACTTCATCTAATTACTATCAAAATAATTCAATTTTGTGAGCATGCACCATGGTTTCCTTTAACAGATTCAACTAGGATGGCTGCATCAGCTATTATAGATATTTTCTTCTTCTTCGTGTTCAGCAAATCTCTGCAAATCCCTGTTACTTACCACGTCCCCAGTCACCACCAAATCTTGGATTCTTGTCCACTGACTCAGCAAGGCCCCATCGCTGCCATCCTCAGCAATGCTCCACTCATAGAAATCCATCAGTTCCCGCGGGTCGTCATGACGGACGTAATCGTGGGCAAAAGGCTGAAAGACCACACGGATCTCCGTCCCGCCTTGCGTAATTCAACGTTGCTGACTGTGACCTGACCGACCTCAGGAGGTTGGGATAATACCCAGAATCCATCAGTGACGACGGGTTGGAAGCAAACGCTAACGTGGCAAAACTGAACCTACCAAATAAATTGAAATATTGAAACCAATAAATTCAAACATTTGCATTTTTCAAGTAATCTCACACTTCACATAAATAGAGTTTGCCATGCCCGACCATAATAATGACGTTTAAGCGATCGAACATTGCAATGATGTTTCACCAAGGACGTAAATCCCGGGGGGATTCGATGATATATCCCCCGTCCACTTGAACAGGGGGCGGTGTGGGGGTATTGGTGGGATAGGCCATGAGATCATCCACCCGTCAACACCCCCCCCCCCCCATATCTTTGCGATGAGACACAGTGGTAAGAAAGTTTTAAATGCACCATTTTGATGTAAGGGCAAGGGATGTGAGCACACAAATTCGCATAAGATAAGCATTTTTCCTTAAACAGCGCGCCCAGCGTCATGTAGTGTCAAGCCCCCCCCCCCCCTCGAATTTTCACACAGGGCAATTTTGGAATTTTGCCGTACACTCATCCCCCTCCCACCATACTTGCCAACACCGATTTAAGCCACTTTGTTTCACAATGACAATTTTAGACTCTTACCTTTGATCTGTAATGACCTCCACCATGCAACCCTAGTCCAGCTCCAACATGTTGGAATGCCATGCCAAGATCTTGATCATCAACCACTGGGATCCACTCCATCGTAGTGTTCTTATCATCTGTGGGAAATAATATAAAAGACACCAGGTAAAAACAGTAGATTGTAGTGGTTCTTTTGTCTAGATTATAAATTGCCTTGAACTTCACAACGTTATCAATAATTTGATAATTCAAATTAATTCTTTTGGATCTACATTCTTAAGCTCTCCCAGATTCCCTTAAAATATAACAAAGTACATAACCAACACTATAAAATCAAAGCAGTAAGGATAACACGTCTGTGGTAAAACTCAGTTGCAAATGATTTCCGGTTTACCAAGATATATTTCAATTTCTTGTTCGACTGCCCAGACGACATCAGTCACAAAGGGTTGTAGCACCTGAGGGATGGTCCAACGGGCTGAAATGTCTGAGGTAGAAGACTGGTAAGTGATGTCATCCTCACAGGGTTGATGAGCAGCAGATGAGTGGTGGGATAATCCTGAAGGCACAGTCGCTGCAAGAAGGAGTCAAGGACTCTGGGTAAAGGATACTTCAGAAGGACGTTGAGGGATGGTCTAACGAGATGAGATGAGTTTGGTAAATCAGGTAAGATATTTCATCCTGACAGGGTAGAGAAGGTAACAGATCAGTAATGAGATAATCCTTATAGCACAGATATTGCAAGAAGGAGGCAAGAAACTGTGAGTAAAGAGGGATGTTGAGGGATGGTCTAAAGAGCACAGTTGGGTGAGGTAGAAGACTGGTAAGTGAGGTCATCCTGACAGAGTGGATAAGCAACAGGTGACGAGATAATCCTGAGGCACAGAAACTGCATGAAGGAGGCAAGAAACTGTGAGTAAAGATGATAGTTAGTTGTGAGGGATGTGGGGGATGAGCTGTCCGAGTTACAGGACTTGTGGGCGATGTCATCCTGACAGGGTTGATGAATACATTAGTGATAGACAATCCTGGAGGCAAAGACACTGCAAGAAGGACGCAAAACTGTGGATTAAAAGATAGTTGAGATGGATGTTGAGAGACAGTATAACAAGCTGAGATGCATGGTTGAAAACTGGTAGATGATGTCATCCTGAAAGGATTGAACAACAACAAATGAGTGATTCGACAATGGCAAAGACAAAGCAAGAAGGAGACAAAAACTGTGAATGACAACAGAACGATCTAAAGAGGGTTCAACATACCCAGATGGTTATTCAACATCAGGGACAGAGAAATACATTTAGCATTATTAAAAAAGGATCAGAGAAAGATATCATATCAAGCTCAAAGGCTCGAGTAAATGTTAGCCAACGTAAGATACTTGAATCCTTTCAGCATGAATGTCACACCACAGAAATATAAACCATGGGTCTTACTTGCATTTTGATCGCAGCCCAGTCCATCTTTGATCACAGCTCCCTCCAGTGCCTGACCCTCCTGAATGACTTTGACACCGTCTGAAGTAACATTGACACTACCAGCCTCAGAGTTAGCACGGATGGTCACATAATAAGTCTAGCAGTAATACAAGAAATACCTCAATGAATACGGAAAACAGAAACAAACAAAAAATGGCATAATGAAATGTCAGTGGCTCTTGCAAGATAATACAAAATAACACCAGAGCCAAGTTCATTCAGCCATTTTAAGCAATTTCAATGTTTTCAAATATTTTGAATTCGTTTTCCAATTACCATCAGCGGAATGAGATCTAGTCCATCCAGTCGATAGAAGGTTGCATTGCCGACATCAATGAAACCATCGCTGACATCAGAAGCATCTCCTTCTGATCCGATTGCGATCTCATAGTTGATATCAAGATGAGGATGCTCAAAACCAAACCAACGAGCTGAGATGCTTGTGTTGCTCTTCTGAACATCAATGTCTTTGGCCATCTGTTCGGGAGACATTTTTGTTTACTATTAGACAATATGCTGGCAGTCAGTAACAGGAAATGAATAAGATTCCTATTTTTTTTTTGTTTTCAGGTTGATATCATTTCAGTAGATGCTATAGCTCCATTAATTGGTTTTAAGTGGTCACTACCAACAAACCACACATTTCTATGTTACCAAGGACTGCCACAATATTCCTAATAGCATTGTAACTAAATTATCAGGTAATGCGTAATTGTCAGTGCATACAAAAGAAAAAATATAATCATTTGAAGTTGCGTTTGAGGTGTTCTTAAGACATTTTTAGAGATAGGTTAGTGATAAATATGATTTGAACTAATGCAACAATGAGAAAGAAAAACACTCACAATTTAGTAAAGAATGGCGAAAAGTAGCTTTGAATTGGTCATAATTACCCCTAAATCCACAGGCACTTCTTCCCAAGGGGGTGCAACATCCAAAACGACACCCAGAGATGGTAACTGCACGATGTGTCTATAAACAGATGAGGTCCCCACTGTAGCTAACCCAGCACCATTCTGTGCTCTGACTGACACATAGTACTCATGATCACCATGGAGATGCCAGTCTAGGTCATCCAATGAGAATGCAGCACATGATGCTCGGGACAAACACGGACCGATTTTGTAGGCTTTCTCCTTCTGGAAATCAAGAGTTTCCGTGCCACCTGGGCTACTCCCTAGAGCAAAGCCAAAAGAAAAATTTCAAAGATTTTTTTTTTAAATGGTTGTTGCACTCCTGATTTTAAACACAATTGTTTTTAATGAAAAAGAATGAAACTGCAGCAAACTAATTACTAAAAGGCAAAATGAAAGGGCTACAGAAAAATAAAAACTTTAAATGTTACATTTAGTACAAATAACAGTCGAGGAATATTCTGTTAAAATGGGTGAAGGTACGCACAGATCAAAGTCCAGCACGCATGATAGGAATCTTAGGTCAGTTTTTCTATCAGACTTTAACACTATACGATGAACCTGCCACTTCAATTAATTTTTGTTTCAATACATGTCAGTAACAAATGTTGATACTGTAAATTATATGGCCAAAAACAATAAAAAAACAAGCGATTACGAAAATTAGTTAACTTAATAAGTCACTTAAATTCAATTGACTGTTGAATCACTATTGTAAACTCCTCATCATGGACTCTGTGCATGAACAGTATATGGCGATTTGTGACCACTTTCGAAAGTCCCAGTGGACTGTACACACCACATGACTAACGAGTACACGTGACCAATTGTATTCTGAATACACACAAACACAAAGCAACAGGCGTTGTTAGCAATGCGTTTGAATGTCCCTCCCGATGGTCTCCCCAAACTCTCTCTCTCTCTCTCTCTTTCTTACCGTTGAGGGTGGGCTTGTGCACAAAACCCGTAGCTACTCAATTGTTATCCTCCAAGTGGATTGAGATACACCACAGAGATACTAGTCAGACACTTTGGCCAATAGTCAACGTTGACTAACTAACCGATGGTGACTAGGTATCAGCAATCATGCACTCATCCTCCACATGGACAAAGACACGCCCAACAAATACGGGCGGGGCACTTTTGACCAATAATCAACACTAGCTAGGTTTGATTGACTCACCAATGTAAACTTGTTATCTCAGGCTGGTATCCTCAGCATTAATGAAGCCACCTTCTTCACATTCAGCAATCAAGCACTCATCCTCCATATGGACAGAGACACGCCCAACAAACATGGGTGGGGCACTTCAAACTAATAATCAACACTATTTAGGTTTGATTGACTTAACAATGGCAACTTGGTATCTCAGGCTGGGATTCTCATCATCGATGAAACCATCATCTCCCAATTCAGCAATCAAGTATTCATCCTCCACACGGACAGAGACACGCCCAACAAACATGGGTGGGGCACTTTGGGCCAATAACCAAGACTATCTAGGTTTGATTGACTCACCGATGGCAACTTGGTTTATCAGGCTGGTATCCTCATTATCGATGAAGCCACAATCTTCCCATGCAGTAATCAAGCATCATCCTCCACACGGACAGAGAAAATGGCCCAACAAACATGGGCGGGGCACTTTTGACCAATAATCAATACTATAATCAATGAGTCGAGAGGTCACTGCACTTCTGAAAGTCTACCTCATTGGACCAACGTATCCCATCATGCACTGCACAAACTTGAGGAGCAGAGGAATCTACCGTTATCTGTGATTCATCAGCAATAAGGATTTGAATTCAGTTGATTATTTGGATTGCATTATTAAGTTATTTGGAATTTCGGATTTTTCGTTGAATATTCATACCTTGATTGTCTCAGTAGTTGCTAGTCTTGCCTGGTTGGTCACCGTCAGGGTGATGTAGTAATCATAGTCATGGGTACCAATGTGCATTGTTGGGTGGAAACCATGTAGTCTATTGCGAAACAATCACGAATTGGGACACACATACAGCTGACGGGATCACAATCCAATGGCCCAACAAACATGGGTGGGGCACTTTTGACCAATAATCAACGCTATGTTTTATTGACTCACCAATGACAACTTAGTATTTCAGGCTGGTGTCCTCATCAGCAATGAAGACACCTGCTCATTTAGCAATAAAATATCATCCTCCACATGGACAGAGACACGCCCAACAAACATGGGCGGGGCAATTTTGACATATAATCAACACTATCTAACTTTGCTTGACTCACCAATGGCAACTTAGTATTTCAGGCTGGTATCCTCATCAGAAATGAAGCAACCATCTCCTCATTTAGCAATCAAATATCATCCTCCACATGGGTAGAGACACGCCCAACAAACATGGGCGGGACACTTTGGAACAATAACCAACACTATCTAGTTTTGATTGACTTACCAATAGCAACTTTGTATCTCAGGCTGGCATCCTCATCATCAATGAAGCCATCATCTCCCCATTCAGCAATCAAGTATTCATTCTCCACATGGACAGAGACATGGCGAACAAACATGGGCGGGGCACTTTGGACCAATAACCAACACTATCTAGTTTTGATTGACTTACCAATAGCAACTTTGTATCTCAGGCTGGTATCCACATCATCAATGAAGCCATCATCCCCCCATTCGGCAATCAAGTATTCATCCTCCACATGGACAGAGACACGCCCAACAAACATGGGTGGAGTGGTATCCACTACTATTGGACCAATAACCTGCTTGCAAAGAAACAACAATTGAATAATTTATTGATGTACATTTTCTCCTCTCTTGATATATTTATGAATGCCTCAACCTATTTCTTTATGAGAGTCAAATCCATCTGAGGCATGACGAAGTAATTTAACACACAGCCTAATTCTTATGTACATTCAGTCCATTACACACCTTTGATGTAGATAACTGAGCCTTGTTGATGGCCTTCAGAACCAGAAAGAACACAGCTCCATGGCTAATATGTGGATGGTACATCACAAAGTGATCATGAGATGATGTTGACATGAAGGTCACCAGGTCAGGGCTCGGATTTGAGGGGTCACTGCTCAGACCTATCTCATAGTCATAGATGGAGCTCTCTATATCCTCTCCAGTCCATGAGATGGTCACCTGTCATTGATAAATGACATTAATACCATCTGTAGCGGCTAAATGTTAATTTTGTTTTGGTTCTTATCGTAGTTTATTTCCAGGTGTTTTCTATATTTGTAATTTGTAAGCACTCGTACCTTTGATTGCAAATAGGTTTCTTGCGGTTACATGTTACTGGAGTTTCTGTACCTTCACTAGAGCGCCCTATGTTGAGATGGCATATTAATGAGGTAAAAGGTGGACTTCTTCATGATTCCGATTATTCGTAAATGATTAACGTGTCTGTGATTCTTAGGTCCACAATGTTATAGATTCGGATTCCAACACAATCGGTTATCTATAATGATTCATTCAAGGTAAAATTTATTGTATTTTGATTCATTTGATAACTTTATTTGCACCTTTCTTTTATTAAAGTTTTCATGTATTTCGGACAAATAACTTACATGTCAAGTGCAGGCTCAAACACATTAGGTTGATCAATACTGGTGAATGATTTGTTATGTTTTCCTTTTAATTGTTACTAAAATTAAGTAGTATAATGTCTGTAATTACAGTGAACCACCACCACCACCACTACTTTCTGATCACTTTCACCAATTATTAATGGCCCAAGCAGACATGTTAAGGTGATGTGGGTTCAGACAAGGGACCGAATAAAGCACTTATGTAGTAAACGTTGTTTACATGGCTACATCGTCGAAAAGCTACATCTAATGGCATTTGTCGTTCTCAAATCTCTGTCTCATACAGTACTACAAGGCAATGCTTCGTATGGACTATATTTTCATAAACCTCATCCTCATGGTATGTGAATGTTACATCAGAGAACTTAAACACTTTCATTGTGAACTGTCCTTTAAACATCCAGATATATGTAAATGTCCACCTGGAGCCAATAAGGAGGTTTCGCAAGCGAACGGATACGCTTACACTTACGTTTAGCTATCCGTATCCGTTTTTTACTTACGTGTAGCGAGCGAGATATGCGTGTCGTCTGCACGTTTAGCGGATAGTGAGTGGCGTTTGACGTCATACGTGCAGACGACACGCATATCTCGCTCGCTACACGTAAGTAAAAAACGGATACGGATAGCTAAACGTATTTGTAAGCGTATCCGTTCGCTTGCGAAACCTCCCTATTGTCTTGGAGCTGTTCACCACAGTATTTGGTTCAGATTAGATTTTATTTGCTTAGCAACACAAGTACATTACCATCCAAACTGTCACGCAATTAGTATTGCTATTGAGTGGTTCTCAGCAAACAGATTTCTAGGCTTAACTGCTCCATGAGTTTAGGCCCTGAACAGAGGTACGTACGTGTTTGTCCGTTGGAAGGAAGAACTTCTGCTCAATGGGTGAAATCCACAGACAGCGTACGTCTCCCTCTAGTATTGCTGAAAAGTCACTGCTGCCAGCTATCTCAGGATAAACTGACAAATCATCTATCAGAACAGCCATGGAACTGTGTGCAAGAAAACCCTAACTCACATGAATATACAGGGCTTTCATGTGAACTTATTAAGTATAATATTTCATGAACAGCACTTTGCAGAGGTACAATGAGAGGGGTAATTGCAGTAAACTTTAGTGCTGAAAGACATTTAAGCATTACAATCTTGAACACAGTTGGGTAGGTGACATAGCAAAGATAAGTGTTAAGCAGCATGAGTTTTATCGGAATGTTCAACTACTTCAGTCTCATGCAGTCTTGTTCCTACCTGCATTCAATGGACGCATTTGTTAGTTCCACCTTCCTGCGATGCTCATTGATGAACCACACCCGACCCTCAGCATCCTTGGCCAGGCCAGGCCACATCCGAGCATAGCTGATAGCAATCTGGGTCAGCTCTGGAGGGCTGGTATCAATCACGACACCGTCAGAGCAGACGGCCTTCGAGGGTTCCAGGGCACGGTTATAAGCGATGACAGTGATGTAGTACTGGCCAGGCGAGGGGGCTGTCCAACTGGCATGAGTGGAGGTTGTCCTCGTCATCTTAAAAATGATGAAATCATGTTAGTAAAAACAAGTTTTCTGAAAACCTGTGCCCAAAATTTAAAAGTGTTTATTTCTGAAAAAGAGGACTGATTTGTTAAGTTATCAGAAAGCGTTTGATTTAAGGTATAGTCCGTCATTTGTAATTTGTGCATTTTTTTCGTTTGAAGCAACAAACGTGCTCAAAATCTAAAGAAGGGTATTGAACAACTAAGCTGATAAAGTTTCAGCTCAGCTTCAGCTGTATATTCCGAGAAAAACAGCATTCTGGGATCTTTGTTTCAAATCAAAAGTTGCTGAATCATGTTTTGAATTTGGCCTGAATTCAGCTTCCGAGACACGTTCTCAATGAGCCGATTGCAGCTACGCGATGTCGTGCACTGATCCGACGAATAGAAACTGCGCGCGTGTGCTTCATGCCTATGCTTGCACGCGCTACGCTGCAAAACAAATCGAACTACTAATTTAAAGTACCTACGGTGCATCTTAAGAAGCACCGTTGGAAAGGCCTTCCTTTGTTGATTTCTTCAAAATGACAGCTTTCCAGAAAGAATAATTTCACAAAAATTACGCCAGTTACTTTATGGAAAGCTGCAAAAGATGGACTCCAGCTTTAACAGATTAACGTTTGTAAGTCACAGCTATGTGAATAACAATGGGATATTAAAAATTTGAGTATTGCTTGTATCAAGGACAAAACACCAACCCATATGCAACTTACATCATTGCTGACACTGCCGATTGTTGTATTGCCGGTCCAGCAGGAGTCATCAAACAGATACTGATAGAACTTGACCCCACTCTCCTTGTCAAAGAAGCCCTCCCAATGAGCTGAGAGGTCACTGCCCTCCTGAAAGTCTACCTCACTGGACCCAGGTATCCCATCATGCACCACACCAGTTTGAGGAGCAGAGGAATCCACCGTTACCTGTGATTCATCAGCAATAAGGATTTGAGTTCAATTGCTTATATGGATTGCATTATAAAAGTTATTTGGAATTTCTGATTTTTCTTTAAATATACCTACCTTGATTGTCTGAGTAGTAACTAGTTTTGCCTGGTTGGTCACCGTCAGGGTGATGTAGTAATCATAGTCATGGGTGCCAATGTGCATTGTTGGGTGGAAACCATAGTCTACTGCATAACAATCACCAATTGGGACACACATACAGCTGACGGGATCACAATCCTCATTGTCCTGTGTGGGAAAGCAAACAATCTAAACCTTCCCGCATCAAGCCAAAAATTACAATTGCAAAAAGAATGCAAGTCTGATGCAAAATACATCATTATAATATTAAGTAACTTTAAAGTTTTTCGTTCAAGACTTAGTTGTTTTACCGTATCGATTTTCCTGGCCGGCAATTTCTGACTGCCATGTTCCATCTCCGTGCCAGTGTGGTTATCAAAGAGAAGCCACTCGATGGTTCGTATACCACTGTGAATGTCATATGTCCTGAATTCAACACTGAGGAAGAAGAACGGAACACAGCCCTGAGATGAAAAGATGCCAAGTTTGTTTACACGCATGCTTTCCTATGGAAGCTTGTAAGTAGGCCCCTCATACCCACTTCACTCCCATCAGAGGGTACAAAGGTGAAAAAAGGTCAAGTCATTTCATCTCAGGAATATTAGAAAACTCAGTCGTTAAACTGCATCAGCTTACTCACGAATGAATACGAGCTTGTAAATCTGTGCAGAGCTGAATATGCTTTCAAATATGTTTGCGGGCTAAGAAAGTATTTTCTATTTTGCTAGGCATAGGTTTATCAATCACAGATCACCCTAGCATCACATGAAGAATAATAACATATAATTCCTACCTCATCTTATCCAGATCCTCTGAATTATGAACGGTTACATTCACCTCCCCATCCCGTACAAGCCAAAAGTTTTCAATAACAGGCGGGGATGAATCAGCATGGACCAACACACTGTCCCTCACAAAGTGACCAGCCAAATCCCTGGCCTCCACCCAGAACCGAATGGAATCACCATCCACAAGGGTCAGGTCATAGGTCGCCTGTGTGTCTGTGCCTTCACTACTCCAATGGTCTGAGTTGTCGTCACTCACGTTGACAGTGGTTCTGCCACCGCTGTGGTCGATGTCGTGTACGACGCGGAATTCTGTCACACCGAGGGCATTAGGGATGGCTGCACGGCCACGTTTTCCAAAGTTCTGATCATAATCTTGAGGAGAAATTGAGATAGGTGTAGCGTTGCGTTACAAGAGGTGATACAAGGAAATTGACGAGGGCAGGATTTATACTTGTAAGTTCTGGGAAACCTATTAAGCATTGTTCTATCACATAAACTACTGTGACATATTTTGGCAATTTTGCAAACATTTTTGTTCAAAAGATGTCGGAAGATTAGTAAAACACCTGGTTCGTTTTATTTATAATTGAACTTATGATTACCAACTAGCATCAAAGCAAAATTAGCCAAACTCACCAGAATCGACGGTACCAGCAACATATGAACCAATTGGCTTTAACAATCCTTGGTTGAGATGATATAGATTAATAAATCGATTTGTCCAATTAAGCTGCACGGATGTCATCCCTCCGCTGGTGTCCAGATTGGTTATCCACACGTAGTTGGTTTCTGCAGTCGCTGAGACAACGCGCACAGAGACATCATCCTGAAGGGTGACATCGTGTGGATCGTCATCAAAGAACAAAAAGCGTCTGCTGAGTCTGACATTGCCCGCATTGTCAACAACACTCAGGACGATGGAGTATACACCTGTATACAGATGTGACAGAAAAGATACAAATAACTACTGTTCACTTCACCAATATACTATAAAGGTCCAACTGTATACATGTCTATGGTGAAAACACACCTGTGCATGTGAAACATCCTTTTCTAATAGAGGACGCAAGTCCAATCGAGGACGTTCTCGATTGGAAAACGTGTACAAAATCAATGGGAGCATGTGTGCATGTGTAAACACCGGCAATCGTGGACTAGGGACAAAGGGTAAATGCACACACACAAAGGGTCCACGATTGACCGAACGTCCACGATCTCAAATCGTGTACAAAACCAATGAGAGCTGTTGCTTAAAAGTACAAACAAAGGAATGAGGATCAGGAACAATGGAGCGTTGACGATTGCTGGTGTTCACACACGTGTGTTGGTGTTCATGTATAAGCATTACATTCACTGTGTGGACTTTCGAACAAAAGAGATCCACATAAACCAGGTAGCAGCGACGTTGTGTGGACTTGAACACGTCCACACAGTGCTCCCCCTCTCTGGAAAACAGAGTTACAGGGATTTGGGGGTTAGCTTTATTTGTGGCAAAATGAAGAGAAACACTAAAAGGAATCATAGAAACAAAATTGTGTTGAAAGAGTTTTCACAGTGTGAGTAAATTATTTTTTTTCACAGGTTTTTCTTAACCTCACGAAAACAAAGGAATGTCTACACTACGTATGTCACGTAAACATTATGTGGGTTGATTGTGCGCAAAAATAACTAATCATATTATTCTGACTTACCAACATGAGGCAAAGTGATGTTCTGACCTGAGTTGATCACTCCACTATAAACGGGTGGACGGTCAAAGACTTCCGTCATTTCGTTGCCATGGTTACCAGATAGCTGGCGTACTTGCAGCTCGTATTCCTTGATGCCAGCAACACTGTCTGTCCAGTATTGCCAAGTGACAATTATCTCTGCCTGTGGATAAAAGTAAATCAAGACTATTTTATAAGGATCATTCTGTAAATTGTGGGTCCACCTTTTTCCCTGACACATATCCGACATCAATGATTTTGTAACTGCTAGGCCTCCTTCATGCAGTCATTCTCACTCTCTGCATGCAGTCAGTTATTATGAAAAAAAACTACCTTTACCAAACAAATGAAATAATGAATTGAATCTTAATACATGAATGGTAAATAACAAAGAACAAAGTTAACATAGACTGGAAAAAAATATCACTCTTTGGACCCTATATTTTATAGAATGACCCAACCAGATATCAATTTATATCCATTTGTGGGGTTCATCACCCCCTATTTTAGAGCAACTTTATAATTTTAACGATAACCATTATGTTCAAAACTCACTAGGCATGCTTGGTAGTTATAATGTGCTTTAGCAACGACATTGAAGCTTGACTTGACCCCGCCGTGACCTGCTGAAAAACCTACGTGGCTGGCGTTCTACCAAAGTTGAGCTATCAGCCCTAGGTTGGCCAAGTGCCACAGTTCAATCAAATCTTTGTTCAAAGGTGCTAATTAGATGTCATAAACCTATAGCCATTGTAACATGTTTGGTCCACGCTAACCTGCGATGTAACATCATTCCCTGCATAAAGCATGGTGGTTCTGCATCCACTGTCAACATCTACACAGTGGTAGGGGTCAACAAAGTCAAAGGTGAAAGTTGAAGAGTTGGAGGTTGTCCTGCCATTGTAGTTTCGTGTGATGATAGTGTCTGAATTGTCCCTGTCATAGAGTTCCATGTACCCGCCACTTGTGGAATATACATCACACGTTAGTCTGTAATATCATACAAATGAAGGATTATAAGCACATGTACCAAGAAGCGATAAAAGTATAACGATAGGAAGAATGCGGTTGATTGAGACTGATTCTCATGTTGCAGTGTTGTCACTTGAAAAACTTCCTAATAACGAAGAAGTAAAGAAATGTACGAGGGAGTAATAATTCAAAGGTCATGTTTATGCAACATTTTGTCTTTAGTATTTTTATTTTGCTCCAAATAAATTGGTACAAACAAAAAGTTGTTATCATCAAGAAAAATGTTTGGCAATCTGATCAGACTATCTAATGGACTTACACATCTCCTGTAGCTGGTGTCCAGGTGCTGTAGTTCAAGTTGAATGTCGCTTGACAGGACACCACGACTGTTGCCGGACTGCTTTGATTGAAAGAAGTTCCAGTCGTTGATGTCGTACAATCCTGCAAGCCTATTGAATATGTCACGCTGTGGCTCCCTAGTGCATGGAAAAGTTATATAAAATGTAAGGCTATCACAATGGTGTTTTTTTTTAAGGTTTAGATTACGCAAAGGTAAATAAAATCTTCATATCAAAATGACATAAAATAAATGTATCACTTACAGTGGCCTTTTTACTCTATTGTAAGGTTCAGTGACTTAACTAAATAAGAGAATGGAGGTAGTGGAGTATGGAACAAATACCTTTGCCCGCTAGAATTTAGAGATGAGCTTTGTATTTTTGAAACTATGATCAACACCCATTTTTGGCTCTTTGGGTGTGGCACTCAAAACATTAGATTTTGGAGCTATTTACACCTCGTCCCCGGGGTAATGAGCTTTCCAATGCGACATCGAACGAAAACTTGGCCCACCACAAGCAATTAATTAATTGTTACTTTCGAGTTAGGAGCAGCACGCCTCTAATTCAAATCTGACGCCGGCGGGACCTAGTTACGCATGCGCTTTTGCGAAAGTGCAGTATACGAATACTAATAAACACCACACCAATCTCGTCCCCAGGGTGTCGAACAGAACGCACCCACCACAACCTGCTCTCTCACTCTGGTATTGGATCATTTGCATGTGTGAGATTTTTGAACACGTACGCAAATGAGAAATAGTCTATAGTGAATTCATGTGCGTTACATTAGCGTTTGTTTTTGTATGCGGTGTCTGGGGTAAAACAGTAATGCGTCGCGCCGTGGGTTATGAAAACACGACTTTTTTGGACGTTAAATTTTACAATCTGGCCCTCCAATATGCAGTATCACATTTCATATTAATATGAGCAAACTGGAAAGGAAATGAGTATTTTTGAGAAGGCTTGGACGTTATAATTACAATGATCGTGAAAACACATAGGCCTAATGCACGTACGTTGGAAATAACAACACCAACTACACGATATATATCCATTACTAGCAAATTGCGGTATCGAATCAGGATACAGAAAGAAAGTTTCCTATGGAGGGCTTACTATTAGAAACGAGTTTGAAAATAAAGTAAGCTCTGTGTGTTGTGTAGTGCTGACGCGCCGTGACTGTACTTAAGTTACGTTGTGGAATGCTGACTAACAGCCTTACAAGTGAATGAACTGTACTGTGTCAGGGCAAGGTGGCATGAAACGGGCTAAGGCGTGTACCCACGCGTTCATTGGGGAAATGGGGATGGTAACCCCTACACCGGTAAATAGCGAACTGTTAAGCTTCGTAACTCGACCAGTCGAGGCGAAAGCAACAGTTCAGGTCAAATGGACAGCTCGTCAGTGGGTTGGTGGCCACTGAAACGAGGGGCACGCGTACATGGTGATGAGGGTCAGATAGAAAGTCGACAAAGTGTCAAAGGGCGCCGACAAAGTCGCAGGCCAAACATAACACCTGACCGGTGCAGTGGGAAGTGTTACAAATGTGGCGAGAAAGGGCACTCTTCTAGGGAGTGCAAGATAGCTCAAAAACAGGCAAACGACAGTCAGCCGCCCGTACATTGTGTACATGAAGTATTTCAAATAATATGTGTACGGCTGCAGGGTGACGGTCAGAACTGACCATGCCGCATTGCGGTGGGTTCTTAATTTTAAGATTATTTGAATACTCATAGCGTTCCGCTGAAAACCATCTGAACTGGAGCGCGCTGTGTAAAACCCCTTGTGAAAACTGTATAAAGGTCTTCAAATGCAAACAGGCCAATTTATTTGTTACAGGGCATTATATTTATATTCCTTCAAAATTAGTTCGGAAATGAAATTTTGAAATTGCGAAACTTAAAGCACGTTTATACCAACTTTAACTTACGATTCACAGCAGCTGTCACTCTAGCACCTACAACACCAAGCCGAATGCTTTGAATGTATGGATGTCCACCGCCACTATAGTCTGGTAGTCCCGCAGGCTGGTAAGAACTTATCCAGTTGGCTGTGATGCTTGTGAAGTTACGTACGTTGGTGTAGACAGTGTCTGTACTGCCCTGGACTGTGGGTGATTCCAGAGTTGTTGTCCCCATTACCAAAGTGGCGTGGTGCTCCGATAGGTCTGGTGCTTGACTAATGCCCACTGCAAGGAACGACGTGTTTGAATCACTTGAATATGGCTAGTATTAACACTTGGTAATTGTTAGCTTTAGCAGAAAAAGTAGATTCAGCCGATTCAGCTGCTTCCATAGGCGCCTTTGTGATTTCTGGTGGTAGCCACATGATTGGGACACAGCCTTATTGCTGCCCACAAACTATAACAGCTAGCATAGTTTTTCCCGTTCATTTTATAAATGCCAGTGCAATTATAACACAGATGATAATGCAATAGTATCCGTCCACAAGTACCCCCCTCAACTGTTAGAAAGAGAGATTGGCAAGACATGGTTGCCGATGATACCTGATGCTCACAGGAAGAGCTATGCCTTTGTGCACATTCATAATAGAACAAATTGTGTCTGCTTTGCGCTATGTTCACACGAACATGCGTGCATATGCGGTGTGTCCCATTACAAGTGGCAACAAAGCGCTCAATCTTTTGTCCATAAAATAACAGCAAATGTGTTATTTACTTTTCGCTGCATAGTACAGTCTTGGTCTACTGTGTGACAGTTACATATTTCCTTGGCTCAGATCCCAAGACATGACTTCAAGACTGTCCTTGAAAGGAAATTGAAGGAGATTAAAGTGAGAAAGAAGTGTACAGCTAGAAACGATCCAGCTTTCATCTACTAATCTCTACTGATTTCTCACTCACATGTTCTGCAGTCAGTTCCTGAGAAGCCACTGCTGCATGCGCACTGGCCATTTGTACAGTTTCCTGGGTAGCAGGCATTGCTATCACTCCTCCATGAACATTGCTCTAACAAATATTTATCAAAAGAGAGAAACAATTGACTAAAGTTAAGTATTGATTTCATCTAAGGTACATGGGGTTCACACACTGATCCATAATAATAACTTAAAAGAGGACTGTGCCTCAAAAAGATGTTACTCCAAAACAAAGGGATATTATAAACAAATCCATGTTCAAGGGACATTTAACTTACGAAACGTGGGACACCCTGTGCAATATGGAACATGACGGCAAGTTTTCATACTGTACATGTAATTTGGACACCATGAACGAACAGTAGATGGTGCTTTATGACCACTCCGGAAGCCCCAGTGGGAGGGACACACCGCTGATGTACCAGGTCATTCTATAAATGTTGAGTCCAAAGGGTGACAATGGTACTTTTTAAAATTTGTCATTCAAGTATCATTAAGAATGACTTCAAATGATTTGTTTTGCTTTTCTTGCTATTCATAATCACTCTTTGAGGCTGACTGCTTTAAGAAGTGCATAAGAATTATAAAATTAATTTTGATGCCAGATGTAACAGGGACAGGGTATAAAAAGTGCATTACATAAAAATCCCTTTGTGACGATTGAGGGGAAGTTATGCAAACTTGTGCGTCGGATCCGTCATTTTTTTCATTTTATAGATACCATCTCTTTAATGTATATCGTGGCAGAACATGTCTGAAAGTAAAGGGGTACAGTATATGTACTTTTCATATGTTCGACGTACACTTACTTATGCACTGTCTCATGTCATCACTCTTCTTATAGGCTGATCCAAGCGCTGAGCCGTAGTCACCATCGCATCGGTCACATTTCTGGTCAGAAGACGTGCTGCAAAACACTTCAAGGCAATTTGGGATAGCTGTGCACCCTATGAACCCAAAAAGAGTTGTATTTATGAATTACCCATCATCAAGGTTTCCATGATCACGATCGACACCGATGTTATCTGACTAATTGATTAACTTCGTGAAATAGTTTCCCAGCTACTACTTCTATGGGAATTCTCCTATTTACAATTTTGAGTCAAATATTTGAGAAACTTAGCTTAAAGCTATAGTCCATCATTTGAAACTATCCAAAACGTAACTGGCGTAATTATTGTTGAAAAACAAACTTGGTTGAAGATAGTAAGGGAACTAAACTCCCTGTGAAATTATTCTTTCTGGGAAGCTGTCATTTTGAAGTAATCAACAAAAGAAGTGCGTCTTAAGACGCACCGTAGGAAAATTTTAAATAGTAGTTCGTTTTGTTATTCGGCGAAGCGCTCGCCCTCATTGGCACGACGCACACGCGCGCGCGGTTGCTATAATTTGTCGGATCAGTGCGCGACGTCGCGTATAGCTGCAATTCAAAACAATTCAAAACATGATTCAGTAACTTTTGATTTGAAAGTGAGATCCCAGAATGCTGTTTTTCCCGGAATATACAGCTGAAGCTTAGCTGAAACTTCATCAGGTTAGCTGTTCAGTATCCTTCATTAGATTCTGAACACTTGTTGCTTCAAACGAACAAAATGCACAAATTACAAATGATGGACTATATCTTTAAGCACAATGTCATTTAATTGTCCTTTCCCTAATAATGAAGTCTAAGTCACAAATCACTATGCTAAAGTGCAGTGATTCACGTTAGTGTAACAAAGTCTTTCTCTTGATGACTTACGATCGCATCGTGGAGAGTAGAAGCCTCGGTTACAGTTGCTGCAGTAGTTAGGACTTGTGCAATCCCCTCCGTTAGGACACCAATTAGTATAGCCAAAGCAAATGGCTTAAAAACAAGAAATGACAAAAAATACAATGAATGTTTGATTAAAACTCATTTGATAGTTATCTGAGGTATTTTATTTCGCAAATCTGAATTTTCTGAAACATTTTGTTCAAGACAAAAAGTCAACTAACGAATTGGGCAGCCAGATGAGGTACTTCCAGCCCATCCTGAGCAGCACCGATAGCAGGTTGATGGCCTGTATGAAAGAAATATATAAATTTATCATGAAAATATTTGTGTTTGTTATTTGAATTCATATCATAGCATAGTAGTAAGTATAACATTGCATTCATGCTAAGTTCAAACCTTTGTTTTGAGAGACAGATTATCAGAATATAATAACCTTTCCTTGTTATTGTATGTACTTTGCACACTATTTTTAAGCTTCACCGGGCTGCCAGCCATAGAAATATCACCCTGCTTGTCGCTAGGGAAGAAGTTATATATTTTGATTTTATTTTGATTTTATTCCAGACATCATTCTTACAATAATGATCTATTAAAATTAACAGAAAATGTACCGATCAAGTGATGATGGGTGGAGGCTGGCAGATAGCCGAAGCTTGTATATACTTGGTCAGGCCCGCATGATATTATCTCCCCTCCTGAAAAGTGGATGGACCAACCTAAAAAGCAATGTCAAAGCATGCCGGCGTGCACAGAGCGGGGTTCATATCAAGTAGTCCGTGGGATTGTGAGGCCAAAAGCGCTTTACTTTTTCAGCCAGGCGATCTGGTCCACCGAATTTTCTAAACCTTCCGAACATAACCTTGTTCCCATTTCCACAGTATGTTTTGGAATGAGGAAATCTTCGAGAAAAACAACCAGTTGCGCTCATCCCGCGCTTACGATGCGCTCAACTCGCTCTCTGTGCGCCCCTATATCTCAATTACTCGATCTAGTCGCTGCCGCTGCGCTGTCACTGCGCCCACACTACGCTCTGCTCGATGTTAATACGTCCTACTATAGCTCGCGTCGCGCTCTCTATCCGACCAAAATACGCTCACGTAAAGTCACTTGCACTGTATAAATGCAACGACAAAACGGTCAATCTGCAGTCCAGTTTCAAATTTATTCTACAAGTTAATCGCAGTCAAGTTGCTTTCTCATGGAGATTACATCGACTGCCTTGCGCCTAGGCTGCGTCAATGCCACGTCAATGTCGCATGATTCACGCTCGGACAGCGCCCGAGATGCGTCATTACGGTGTTGCGACTGTTTTGAGCATGCTCAAAAACTTTGGCGCTCATCGGAGACCATAAAGACCCTCCGGCGCCCATCAGGCAACATATGTAGTTGTCGTTGCGATCTAGTAGTAACTGTTGTTGTTGCACCCCAGCCATTTTTCAAGGACGCAGTGGGAGCGCATTATGATCGAAGACAGTGTGACAGGACCCTAATCGAGGAGTCCTCGATTTGTTTCCTGTGCTCAATTCATCGATGAAGTTGCACATGTGTGTCTTCGATTTACACCATAATCAAACGCACACCAGCACGCAAGTGTGTATTACCTGCAATCGAGAAACCCCCAATTGTCCCTCTTTTGTTTGTACACTAACTTTTTAAGAAGACCTCCCATATTTTTGTACACGATCGCCAAACTGAGGACCTACGGGAATTGGGGACCCTATTGTCCACTACTGTTCAACGTCGCCTATTGAATGCAGAAACAAGTATAATGAGTATAATGTTACCAAGTACAATGTTAACCTTGGGCTTCAAGATGCTGTGACGTCATCAAACCGGAAGTTGGGTGTTGTTATATCATACTATTAAACATTCATTATTTTTCATATTTTCAGAAGTTCTTTTCATCTTATGATGAGCTTGTATCCTTTCTAAACAAAAACAGTAATCTGTTTGCACATTTTGACTGCTTACGTCATCAAACCAGATATAACATGTACGTGTAAATAAAATGTACTGAAATATATCATATCCAAAATATGCATTTTCTTTCCCAATTAAAACTAATGGTTTTACATCAAAGGTTGTTCATGATCCCTTTTTTTCTGTTAAAAGATAAAAGTATTCACAGCTGTGACATAAAAGCATTCACAGCTGTGCAATGTCATATGAAAATGTTTTCGGCCCGATTACCCTGCGTTTGTAATAACTCAACAAACGCGAATCTCCAGGTTTTTTTTCCAAAGTTTAACTTATCATCCATTCACCTATTTATATACAGAATATAGGGTGAGTAAAAAAAACGAAACCCAAATATTGGGACTATTGTTGTACTGAAGTTCTGCATGTAGCACTTTAAAAATATAGGATATTAAAGCCCAATTCATAAGCTTCATTTTAGTACAAGAATCATTACAATCGCCTATGGACTTTTTAAGTTACGGAATTGTCAACACAACCACCGTTTTAAAGTTCTCTCCACGGATCACAAAAAGGTAAGTTTTCTTTGAGCAAAACCAAAACAAATCACATAGGGATGTGTGTGAATTGTGTTTGTTTTGCTAAAAAAACCCGCAATTTTATGTGATCCGTTGACGACTTTTAAAACGGTGGTTTTGTTTAAAATTCCGGAACTTGAAAAGCACGAAGTGATTTTAATGATGTTAATGATTCTTGTACTTTTTCTTGGGCTTTCATATCCTAGATTCTGAAAGTGCTACATATAGAACTTCACTAAAACAATGGCCCCGACATTTGGGTTAATATTTGAGTAAATATGTTTACATAAAAATTAACACGAGCAGTACGAAACAAATTCGGTTTTTATCTGGTTATTATCGGCGACCAGGCTCCCACCCAGTTTTAATTCAGACGTTTAAAACTGGTCCACCACACTATCATTCCCTTTTCAAGATGCTTTCTCAGTGCTATTTTTCGATTCTCACCTCGAAATAGATTTTTTTCAATTGTTGGTTTTCCTAGCAGTCATCATCAAATTGAAAACACTGTCGCATTTGCTGTTCACTGAAATCGTTGCGGCATTTAACACATAACTACCATATGCGTAAGGCACCCCACGCTAAACCTGTCGTTATATTCTGAGATTGAAGTAACATTTCACACCATCTCGGTCTGGAATTTAATGTACATAAGTTCTTCTATAGAGTGAACTAAAATTCAGCAACAATTTTATCACAGAACACGTAGTAAATTGGGTAAGCAAAAGGTCTTAAAACTGTCGATTTTGTCTAGTTTTTCGCTCTTCGCGCACGATTCACACGCAAAATGTACGACTTTTTGATGGAGTACGTTCACTAAATTCAACAGCATGAACAAACGAAAAGCCTTTCTAATCTATCTCAGCCGCAATCTGTATAAAATTCTGCAGATGTTCATGTAAAAAAACATTTTGATTGGTTTAGAGGAAGGTCTTGTAAATTTGCAACCAATTGAAAGCCACTTTCTTTTCAGAAAGCTTTTTAGCACGGTACAGTGACTCGTACGTGTGTACGGATGTGTGACGTGTCTTCCGTATGTTCCGTGTGTGCCTACACTGCCACGCGACACCTCACATATTTTCCGCTTCAGTTGCGTTCGTCAAATTCAAGAATTTAATCATCACGTTACCTTTTTCATTCGATATGTATTAGTTCAAATACATCCCGTTGACATTTTAGTGTCTTTTGGATGTGGTAAAAGCGTTTTTGATGTGCGAAAAGCAAGGATTTCTGAGGCAACTTCTTTGACTCTTTGACTCGAACGTAGACCTTCGTACATGCTGCATATGCATCAGCGGGTGGACGCTACCCAGTGGCGTAGCCAGGAATTTTTCAGTGGGGGGGGGGGTGCTGGGGGGGGCCGCTGGGGGGGGGGGCTGGAACATTTCATGGGGGGGGCGTCATGTAGGGGCGTCAATCGCTTCTCAAAAGTGGGGGGGGGACATACCTTGATCAGAACTGACGCGGCGCGCGAAGCGCGAAGCCCTTACGGCGTAGGGGTTCGGGGCCCGCTTAAGGGCCCCGAAAAAAATTGGATTCTAGATGTTCTGTGGTGTGATCTGAAGCAATTTCTTACCACTTTCCTCCTTGCTTTAACTAATATTTTCTTAGCAAAAGATAATTATTTGAACATCGTTTTGGAGGTTGGAGTCATTGAATCAGCTATCGGTATTCTGAGCTATAGACGTGGGGTTCGGGGCCCGCTTAAGGGCCCCGAAAAAAATTGGATTCTCGATGCTCTGTGGTGTGATCTGAGGCAATTTCTTACTACTTTAACCAATAATTATCTTAGCACAAAAGATAATAATTTAAACATATTTTTCGAAGTTTTCTCAGCTAAAGGCACACGAAAAAAATGTGAACATTGTTTTCGAGGTTGGAGTCATTGAATCAGCTACCAGAATTCTGAGCTATAGGCGTGGGGTTCGGGGCCCGCTGAAGGGCCCCGAAAAAAATTTGGATTCTAAATGCTCTGTGGTGCTATCTGAGGCAATTTCTGACCACTTTAACCAATATTTTCTAAGCAAAAGATACATTGTAGTACATAATAGGGCCCTGTAAATGCGACACGAGTTCAAAATTCTGGGGGGGGGGGGGACATTTGATAGTGTGTCCCCCACCCTTCAAAAAGTGGGGGGGGGGGGACCAGTCCCCCTGTCCCCCCAGGATTGACGCCCATGGCGTCATGTAGATCAATGTTAATTTTTTTAGAAACTCAAAATCTCAGTTGGGGGGGGGGGGGCGACTGGGGGGGCGACAAGGTTTCATGGAGGGGGGCTGTCGCCCCCCCCCCCCCCACGCCCCCCGTGGCTACGCCACTGATTTCAAGGAATTTTAATTGGTCTATTATTATTATTTAACTTATATGAATGGAGGAAAAGGTTTGTGCGTGGCCGATTCGCGTGATATCGCTGACTGAATCTGTGTGACCCACGGACCACCTGTCTATAATACGTGTTCCGTGGTGTGAGCAAGCAGTGCAGTGAGTGTAAATACGCATTTTAGATTATCATTATGCGCTATTTCACGCCGGTTGTCAGCTTACTGGTCCGCGGTCGCCGGTCGAAAGGTCGTTTGTCAGTGGTCATCATGTGGATCATTCGCAACTATTTAGATTTAGACCAATGATAATTTTTTTAGAAACTCAAAATCCCAGGGGGGGGGGGGCACTGGGGGGGGGGGGGCGACAAGGTTTCATGGGGGCGGTCGCCCCCCACGCCCCCCCCCCCCCTGGCTACGCCACTGACGCTACTAAACGGAGGGGTGTTCTTAATGTACGAAAAAAAACTCAAAAATTATTTCAAAGTGTAATGGGCCTAGTACAGAATGTTATTTTGCTTAAGAGATATTGTCAACTCATGGAAAGCGGTGTTCTTTTGTAATGTTAAAATACATGCATACATGTAGTTTTAGATAGGGCCTATAAGTATTAACATTATGAGTAACTTTCTTGATACTTATTTTATTACATTTCTTACATTGCATATTACATTCCTTACATTATGACGAAGAAATAACAATAAATTAGTATGTATTTTGTGTTTCCAATAAACAAAGTAAAGTGACTTGTCTAATATCCTTTGTTTAGAGCTGTTCGGGTTCCCAACCCCAACTTGGATACAATGGTATAACCCACAAGGTCATTGCAATGGACGATCTGATAACTGCAGCCCAGTGGCTGACCACAGCGTTGTGTGACATGTTTTCTGCTCATTCAGACCTGAAAGTTTTTAATATATTAATAATTGAATAATTTCTCCACAAAATTTGAACTAAAAGCGGGTTCATTGGTGAGTAAAATGAAGACTTAATTTGAGAGGATTGCAGAAGCCAAAAACCGGATTATTAAGTATGTTGCTTCCGTTAAAACAAAGCATACAATTTGAAACTTCTTTAGGGGAAATTAATCACGACGGCCTTTGAGTGACAATTTGTCCCAAAAAAATGTTCGATGTTTGTTTGCCTTTGTTTTTAGGGCGGTTAGTTATAAAATTCATTTTGCTAAGCTGTACAACCTTGAAGCATTATTTCGTTAAGCTCCCAATGGTTACACGGGAAAGTATTATTTTCATAAATGGCTTCCATTATTTCATCAATTACGAAATCATACCGAATATACAAGAGATAATTGCTAGATTGCCATATATGAAGGTCAAGAGGCATTCTGTCTTTCATAATTTATCACCAAATTTGCCCCTATGTTGTAGACTCGCTGTGTTTAATCTGACCAGTGACTTTGTTTAGATGTAAAGGCTTGTGAACAGTTCCAGGCAGTGCTATTCTATAGTATTATCCCGTAACGCCGATGGAACTCTGTCTGACGAAACACTTACCTATATCTGGTACAGCGACTCGCCCCCCAAAATCCACACGACGTTGTGTAGATCTGAGAGCATCCGTATCCACATACACGCCCCCTTGTATAACAATCAAGAGAATAGTTAAATTGTATCATACCCTTTTAACTGTATATACAACTTTGACAGAAAGCACTGATTTAATGCATTCAACACTGATAAAGGGGAGATATACACGACCACAAAAGTTTACATATTTGCAAAAATACTTCAGGTTTGCGTGCAAGAAAATGAAACGCACAGCAAAAGAATGCACGCGGATTATTCCTAGGTATTCCTACGTCTAATCCTATAACGGTTCTTATTGCTTTTGATCAACTTGTTTTGCTTTAATGCAACTTTCTTTATTCTTACACCTTCTTTTGCAAGTTGAACAGACGCCACTCTGTATTCACGGTTTGTAACTTGACGCATTCACGGTATTCGTCAAGCATGGCTCACTTCGTCCTTGTTATTGTTTTACAAGCCATTTAAAAAATGTTCATAACATCGGAATTTTAACAACATTTTCCTGATATTTAAGATTATATCACCGCCCATTGAGTGGACGATATTATTGATAAAGATCGCACATTTAACCACAACTGATGTGCAAGTAATGATGACAATAACTAAAAGTGACACATTATATTTCATGTTCATATAATATAAATCAGAGTTTGTTTCATGGTCTTGTTTTATCAAGAGAGAGAGAGAAAAAAAGGTTTCTTCGCACTGCACTAAGGATAAAAAGGAAGACTTACTGTGAGAGTGGCAAATTGGCAGCCACGATGATGATAATACAGCCGAAGGAAATCATGGTTTATCTCCAGCTAAGCGGGAAATAAAAATCGACTCGGTCTGAAAAGATTAACATAGAATACCACTCGATGTGTGATTATGTGCTACATATCTCGAAATTTGAATTCTTGGGGTCGTTCAAGGTTCAAGGTTAATTTATTTCCATTGGGCTGACCCTTAAAGTCTCTTGACCGTAAGGAGGGGTTTTTGGTCATAAAAACTTTACCCAGATCCACTTCAACCGACAAACAAAAGCTCACGTATTTTCATGAGGAATTCATCATTGTCCAATGGTTGTCAGGGAACATTATTATACAACGCCTGATTAATTCCCGATCATCTGATTGGCTGATCGTTGCACCGTTGCTCGGTCACACTATCGGTGGCTCTCACCAATCAGATGACTACAGAATTTATTTATAAATGTTTTACATTCTCGATATGGAAAGAATAGCTCCATTCGGTGACAGATGAAATGTTCCATTCCACTCGGCTTTATGAATTCCCTACTACAAGATAAGCTACCAACAACAAACACGGCTGAAATCGTCTCATGAAATGTCGAAAACGTTTAAGGTTCAAATTCTACTCAACGTATGAATTTAGTTCTCTTGCCCAAATACAAAGTATTTATAACTATTTCTAACAGTAATTCATAAATACCTAAGACAGTTTACGCATTCCTATTGGTCGAGAGCCCGTCACGTGGCCGGTCTGAAACGGATGACAAAGACATGGCTAGCTGGTCTTTTCCAGTATCACATGAAATTTGGACTCCCTTGAAATCCGATGCCTTTTAACGTTTCATTGGTTGAACTTTCACATTCCTCAGGTATGCATGCCCAGCGTACTACCAGTGAATCAGTATTTCATGGTCCGAAATTTACACTACACCAGCCCAGCTGCGTTTTGCGCGACGCGCACGCCAATGTCATTGTAAGGTAACAAGTTGTGTAGGGGTATTATATATTATAGTCAGAGGGGTGTTTCGTAAAACATGAAGTAAAATTGAACAAAATGGTTGGCAACGTCTAGTTTTTGACTTGTTTTGATTTTTGGACCGAAAATCATAACTCGACAATTTTCCAGCCGATTAGTTAAGCTCGAGCTTTAAAATAAAGGTTGATCTCCTACAAAAAAATGGATTTAAAATAAGCGCTGATTGGCTACATTTTGCTTCCGTGCTTGTTATACTAAAAAAAAAAAATAAGTAGCCAAACAGAATGGCAGTTTGAGATCCCATTGAAATACACGACTACATTTTGCGGTGTTTTCCCATAAGTGTTGACCACATTGAATAACATCCCTTTTTAAATAGGTAAATTCACTCTTTAACAGGCGAGTTAAGCTTGTATAGGGGTGTAGGGCGCTTTGGATAAAGATAGTTCCTTTGCTGTCTGTCAGCTTCACTCTCTTGGTAGAGTGGACAGGCATCACTGGTTCTCATCCATCTCCTAAATCTCTCACGTGCTGGCTCCAAGTGCCACACCCCGGTATACCGCTTCAGCTGGCGGGCTAAACCACGAGAGAGCGTGGTGTCTACACTGCACCACTGGATGGATGAGCTACATCAGATAGCCAACGCCTAGGATGGAGGAGGTCATCGTCTGACCCAACGGCCACGTGTAAAGGAGTAAATTACCTTCCGAATCAGGAGTGGTGCCCCGAAGCCTTGCAAACACCGTTTCGGCAGCTCCCGCAGCCCAGCCGGTGCCAAACGTCATGCTTCGAATTCCTTTGGATCTCATCAGCAAGGCTGAGAGGAGGATTCTGACGCCTGAGCAACCCAGGATCTCCATACTTTATACCAAGGCTTGTGCCCTGGAGAGGCCACTCCAGCCTCACCCTATAGTGAGGAAACAACACGGCAGGTGGCAGTTACAGGTTAAGTCCCATCCAATTGGTATAGGAAACGGGGCGCCACGGGCCAGCTTCGATTGCGGGAGGAATCATTGCGCTCCATTGGTCGGCTACCGCCGGTCTTAAGCCAGGCAGCCCCTGGTCAGTCAGGTGTCCAGCCGCCAGCGTCCGTCTGCCTCATTGGGTGCTTTGGGCTTAGTGTAAAGCATGACAAGCGGACGTTAACACCGCACAAGACAAACAACGAAAGATGAAAACGAATCTGTCAACTCTTCGCATATCAAGCTGGAATGTTAGAACCATGCGCACAGGGCTTTCAGACAGCCTTGACCACAACAAAGACTCTCGCAAGACCGCCATCATCGACTATGAGCTCGACCGACTCAATGTCGACATTGCTGCTCTCCAAGAGACACGGCTCGCTGACTGTGGTTCCCTAAAGGAGTACAACTACACTTTCTACCGGCATGGAAGGAGTGCAAACGAGACCCAAGAACACAGTGTTGGTTTTGCAGTGAAAAACACCCTGATTGTAGTATGCCGCAACTGTACCACCGATAGGATGCTCCGAATGCATCCTTGCCATCCCTATATCCACCAGCAGCGCACCAACCAATATGCTAAGCGTTTACACCCCGACAATCTGCTTTCCCCTTGAGTCAAAAGACAAGTTCTACGAGGAGCTTGACATGGCCATCAGCATCATCCTCATTCCCAAAGAACGATCACCTGTTCCTCCTGGGGCCTAGCCAGACTGCCTTGGACACTTCGGAGTGGGGAGCATGAAAGAGAATGGCAGAGACTGCTAGAGTTGTGCTGCTATCATCAGCTCTGCATTACCAACACCTTTTTCCAGACCAAGCCACTGCACAGGGTCTCCTGGAGACACCACAGATCCTATAACGCTGGCATCAGCTCGACCTCAGCATCACGAGACGATAGGCACTCAACAGCGTCCACCTCACCCGCAGTTTTCATAGCGCATACTGCGAGACAGACCACTCCCACGTCCTCAGTAAGGTCAAGCTACAGCCCAGGCAGATCCACCATGCCAAGCAGAAGGCACGTCCCCGCATCAACGCCAGCCGCTCCATAAATCCAACTGTCACCCAGCTCTTCCTCACCTCACTTGATCAAGCACTTTCCGCCTCCAATCAGCAAAGTGTTGTGGACAAGTGGAACTGCCTACGCGACACCATTTATGACCAAACCCTCGCAGCATATTGCAAAAAAGTGATGAAAAACGCAGACGGGTTTGAGGCCAATGCAGTGGAGATGGAGCCAGTTATCGAGGCCAAGCGCACCGCCTTCCACAAGTACAAAGAGAATCCATCGATGAGGAATCTTGAGGCTCTTAGAAAAGCCAGGGGCAAAGCCCAGCCAACGGCACGATGCTGCGCAAACAACTACTGGCTGAAACGCTCCTCCAGCATACAAGCCGCCTCATGTACAGGGGGATCAAACAAGGAACAGGTCCTTCCATAAAAACATGGCGCCTCTCAAATCCATATCCGTTGAAGTCATCACCGTCAGCAGCAAACAGATGAAAAGGTGGCTGAGCTCTACAGGGAGTTATATGCCACAGAAAACACAGTTTCAGAGGAGGCTCTGAATGGCATCGCAAGATTTCCTGTGATGGAGGAGCTTGACAGGGATCCTACGCAAGAGGAGCTCGGCAAAGCCATTGACAGCCTCGCTTGCGGCAAGGCCCCAGGTGCTGACGGGATAACACCTGACGTCATCAAACTTTCCGGGCAGTTTGCTGTGATGGAGAAACTTTAGAGGCCTTCCCAAATCGCAGTGGAGTGAAGGAGGGCTGTGTTCTTGCACCGACCCTTTTCGGAATTTTCTTCTCTCTCCTGCTGTCATTTGCATTTGGCTCATTCCCTAAAGGCGTTTACCTACACTTCAGATCTGACGGAAAACTCTTCAACCTTGCCCGCTTGAGGTCCAAGACGAAAGTGACCAGTGTACTCATGAGGGAAATTATATTTGCAGACGATGCAGCAATAGCATCCCACACCGAGACAGGGCTCCAGCAGCTTATAGACAGGCTCCCTTACCCGTTCAAGGAGTTCGCCCTTACTATCAGCATTAAGAAAACTAATGTCATGGATCAAGAAGTCGAAGCGCCACCCTCCGTCTCTATCGACAACAAGACTTGACGCAGAACTGAGCACCCGTCTTGCCAGGGCCGCTGCAGTGATGGCCGGGCTTTCAAAGAGAGTGTGGTCCAACAAGAACCTAACTGTGTGCACAGACACCAGGTCTACCAAGCATGCGTCATCAGCACAATGCTGTACGGCAGTGAGGCCTGGACATCTACATCAGACAAGAAAAACGGCTGAACAGCTTCCACCTGCGCTGCCTACGCCGCGTTCCGGGCATCACATGGCAGGAGAAAGTCCCGAACACGGAGGTTCTGGAACGTGCCTACTCAGTCAGCATGTTTGCCATGTTGAGCCAGCGCCGCCTTAGATGGCTCGGTCACCTCCACAGGATGGACTCCAGTGGAATCTCTTGGGCCATCCTGTATGGCAAGCTTTCTTCAAGCTTCAAGAACGTCTGTAAACGCGACATGAGGCAGGTTGGCATAGACCCCAACAGCTGGGAGGGAGCCGCCCACGATTGCAGCGCTTGGAGGCAGACGATGAGGGGCACACCTCCTTGCTGCAGGAGAAAAGGCAGAGGAGAAAATTGCGAGCTGCCGCCCCCACCCATGTGCGATGGCGCAGTCCATCGTCGGTATTGACGGACGGATGCCTACTAATCTTGTATAATAATAATACTGGAGGGAAGGCTCTAGGCTGATTTTCCAGTTTCTTGTGTTATATTTTTTATGTGATTTCACAAAAGTTGAAAAAGTAATGGTTGTCTGGAAAGTGTCTTGAAAACGAATAGTTACGTCAAGACGTGCGTGGCTCGCTGGCCAACACTGCGGTTTTTGGGCGAGCTCATTTTTTGAATGAGTAAATCAACCCCTAAAACAGGTCGTAATGATTGTGTTTTCTCTGTAAAATTGTTCTGACGAAGAGGGTTATTTCATTCTTAAGTTATGGTTGTATTAATGTAGTTGTTGAAAAAAAAGTGTGTTCCTGCACAAGTATTCATATTGCATCCTTGAATTTTATGACACCCCTACCCTGCAAGTAGTAAGTGGGGGGGGGGGGGGGGGTCGAGGGGGTCGAACGAACCCCCCCCCCCCCCGCAAAAACGCCGCAAGTCCATTTTTTCCTCTCAATTGTGTATTTCTATGCGTAAAAAAACCGTTTAGTACACATAAAAAGGTCCACCTCACGGTGCAAAGGTCTACTTCGTGGCAAAAAAAAACAGGCGTGTTGCTAACGCTGGCCTAGCGTTGGTGAGCGTTTGCCAGCGGGTTGCCGAAATTCCAACACGTTACTCACGCGTTGGCCTAAAATATTCTGGTGTGACGGGCCCATTACAGACTGCCTCTACATAGCATTATATGTGGTAATTAAGTGAAATGAATTTGGGGAATGTTTGCTCCAAATCAAATGCTGATGTATATCAGTGGCACAAAACAATAAAAATAAGGAATTTCTTCATCAATGGCGTAAAGCCCCTGTCACACCTTTGCGTATTCTATTCCTTATGAGTTCCTTATCAAAAATTTTCAATACGCAGCCGCACGCTCAATTAACGTCGAAATGTTTTGATCACTTTGACTTATGTGCGACGCACATCTAGCGTACAAGTAACGAATTCAGCGCATCCATTGCGTATGAGATGCGTATGAGTTGCGTATGCAGTGCACAACATTATTTTTCGGGCTGCGAATAGGTCAGTATGCAGTGCGCATGCCGAGCGTATTCCGGACGCACCCGACTTATGCCGACCGCATGCTTGACGCACCTCTGAGCGTATTCCCGCCGCATTTCCGCAGCTCGCCGTTCAGCGTGCGTTGCATCTGCGCTGCAAGTACGCTATGTATACGTCCAATACAGGCGGCTCATATGCTGACGGGGTGCGTCACGAACACATAGCGTATTCGTAACGCACTCGACCGATGCAGGACCGATGCGCTGCGTATTTATAACTTATGACCTGCGTAACAGCGTACGCAGCGTAGTTTTGTGCATGCCCAAAACTATCCTGCGTACTGGGCCGTACCATGCGTATATCTGCGTACAGAAAACCTACACAAAACGATAGAGATGCATATGAGGTGCGTATTGTGCGTACGACTGTGTATGAACAAATTTTCAATGCGCAACTCATAAGGAATTAGGATACGCAGAAGTGTGACAGGGCCCTAAAGCCCCTGTCACACTTTTGCGTATCCCAATTCCTTATGAGTTCCTTATCAACAATTTTCAATACGCAGCTGTACGATCAAAAACGTCGAAATTTTTTGATTACTTTGACATATGTGCGACGCACATCTAGCGAACAAGAAACGAATTCAGCGCATCCACTGCGTATGAGATGCGTATGAGTTGCGTATGCAGTGCGCAAGTTCGCCATCTGTGCGTTTCTCATAAGTTACGAATAAGTACAATGCGCTGCCCGCTCGCAGGATGAGCGGTACTAATTCGTGCAATACGTCGCTATGTATACGTCCAATATAGGAGGTCAGCGTACTCGTACCGCGCTCGACCGATGTGGGACCGATGCGCTGCGTATTTATAACTTATGACCTGCGTAACAGCGTACGCAGCGTAGTTTTGTGCATGCCCAAAACTATCCAGCGTACTGGGCCGTACCATGCGCATGCCTGCGTACATAAAACTTACATAAAACGATAGAGATGCATATGAGGTGCGTATTGTGCGTACGACTGCGTATGAAAAAATGTCAATGCGCAACTCATAAGGAATTAGGATACGCAGAAGTGTGACAGGGCCCTAACTGGAGGAAGGAGGCGCAGGGGGTGGGACGTGCCCCAGCAGATGTCCATGCCCCCTCGGTGCCCCCA